ATTACGCAAAAATTTGAAAAAAAAAAAAAAAAAAAAAAGAAGAACTAATTAACAGGATCAGCTTGTAATTGCTCGTAGTTGTGTTTACGGAACTACGTTGCAATTTGCTCGTAACAAAGTATGCATATATTAGAGATACATCAAAAATTTTGTTTGACTTTAGTCGTACATTTGAACAACTTTATATCTGTTTTTTTAGGCAAAATTTCGACAGATTCAGATATTCTTCAGATCAGATTGCAAGTTCACAAATCTCCAGTTTTCATTGACCGAAGATTTCTGTAAGCGTCTTATAAGTTTCTCGAGTAGAGTTAAGTATACTTTTAAAGTCTGAAAAGAAAGAGAAATGCAGTTCTTATATATGTATGTGAGTTAACGTGCATTTGAGCAACAGGGGCAACAAAAACCTTAATCCGTTCCTGAATGGAGCAGAACACACGAACACGGACAGCAAAGAGATATCACTTTCCCGGCTTTCTTGGTGCCACGCCCGTTACACACCATACTTTTATGCGAACTTGAACGAAACGCGTGTTTCTCGCAACGCATACTAATCGGCGAACGAAAAGAAAAATAGCAAACTGAATTTAGAACGACGATAGTTTTAAATTCTCACAAATAACACGAGATCACGAACAATGAGGCAGGATCGCCATTAAGGAGAAATCGGAGAAATCAGTCACGAAACAAATAAAAAAAAAAAGAAACATTTCAAATGGTAATTAGCCGCAAACGATTAAAAAATTAGATCGGTCTTGAAGTCGAAAATTTGCAAATGCGTGACACTACTGCATAATTTTTTTACTTAGCGATTAGTAAAAGTAGCAATTAAAGTAATTGTAATTCTATCTTGTAGGAAAGTAACTTAAACTCGGCAAGATGGAACGAGAACAGTAGTTAAAATGAAATAACGTTTAATTGAAGATGTTGCAGTAATGACGATACGTCATTGTAAGTATGTGAATATATACTGTTCCCGGTTGTAAAAGATTACGATCGAGACACAAATATTGCACAATTATTGTCGAAATAGAACGAGGAAGTTTGATTGCGTCGTCGAGTCAATTCGCACGCGCCATAAATTCCCTGAGAAACGATCCTTTTGCACACGTTCGTGAATTCAAAAGGCACGTGATTCTTATATTTGTGTATCAACGACGATTCGTACATCAACAAAATCGAGGTGTACCAGCTGATTTCTCGCGTGTCTCGCGAAAAACCATTGTCAGAACGAATGGAGCTTTATCGCGAAACGCAACGGGACTAACGACTAGGGGAAAGTTGCTAAAATCACATCGCGCGAGACCATAGATGCGATCATTTTTCATTGTTCTTGCCTTAAGTCTTCTTTTCATTACCCTAAGATAATTTTATTACGAAAAAGAAAATTATAAATTGCTTTCTCTCTCTGTAGAATATATCTACGAGTAGTAATTTAACATTATGGTGTTACATCGTTGAATATTATATAAATCTAGGTGAAAGATGTGGACGGTCTGAAATTCATGAAAGCTGACATTAAAAGTGGTCTTTATCTCTCTACCGTTCATCTTTTCGCAATGTGTTCTTTACGCTATTTCTGTGTATATAGAAAATAACGTAGCACATATTTGTGATGCAGGTAATTATTCAACTCGACTGATCACGCATTTTTCAACGCGCCTGACAATGGAAAATAAGTATGAATAACGCGTCGGTCTTCTTCCAGCGAATTTAACAAGAAAAAGGAGTGCTTTTAATAAAGCACGTTTGCACGTGGTCATCGGCAATAAGTATTCCTGTGCGGTAAGTTCAGGTCGTGTACCCCTGAAGGAAGGCATTGTTCCAGGGTCGAGTTTCCGCGAAACTGCGTGGGCGGACTAACTGCATTTCTCGCGCGTGACACACGCGAAATACTCGAACACATTGTGCGCATAGAGTCTCTCTAACTTAGTTCCAACCTTCTTCTGTATGCTGTTCAAGAGACTGATCAAAGAGATGAGAGAGAAACGCAGGAAGAAGACTCTTGGTAGGCTTCCTCGCCCACGTCTCTGCATTTCTGTGACTTTTTTTTTATTTTCCCTTCCAGAGGTGAATATCTCATGGAACTCATTGTTTCTAGGTGTGACTCGAATTCTTTGGATTCCCTCTTTCTTCCTACCTTCTCGCCTCGCTGTCCGTGCAAGTCCTATTTAAAAACACGTTCTGCCTGTAACGTATTTTTAAACGAAAGTGGACAATGTTCGCGAAACGGTGTCCGCCGTGACGTTCACTGGGAGACAAAGAACACAAAGGGAGCTTGACCGAATCTTGGTTCGCCAACCTACTTCGATCAAAGGTACAACTAGGTTACCTTGCCGGAGGTTGTGCAACACTGGTAGGTTGTAATCCAATTGTGAGAGCACACGTGTACCTATATTGTACATGCATAGGCGGATATGGATACGCAGTCTGCGCTTTGAAAATCCAGTTTTTGAAAAAAAGAAAAAGGAAAACAACAAGAGATAATATCCACGTACGTATATCGAAAATAATACTTTTTTTATTAATAATTTTTTTTCTAAAACTAGCAACACCTTTTCCAATAGGCGTATTGAGTGAAGAAAAGTACTAAGGCCGATATTTTGAGCCATATTTGTCGAATACAGAGGAGAAAGAAGAAACGACGATGTTCATCGAAGTCACATAAAGTTCGCCAACTTCGTTAACCCGTTTTTCCTACGGACTGTAGAAAATAACGATCGGCATCTGGCAAGGTCGATGGCGTCAACGACAGCCGGTAGACGTTTGAGAAACGGAAGGCCACTTTCCCTTTCTCTTCGCTGCTCGACAATACTTTCAGATACTTTTCGACCTATGTTTCAATGAAGTACTATGAAAGAATGTATCAAAGCGTTTCAAGCAAGTATCGTTTGCAGCAGTTATCTTTCGCAGCAAGTAATAATTTGTTACAAAAAATATGACACGCATACTAGAAAAAGTTGAAACGCTCAAGAGAAGTATTTCTAACGCGCGTTTTTTTCTTAAATTATTTATTTAATTAACAATTGGTGTCCCAGTTTTAATCGGAAATTGACAGGACGATTTAATTTTGACCTAAAATCATGTATTCCTACCGCTTCATCTCAATGTGTTGGCCATTTCAGGAAAGGATTACGCAATTACCCATATTATGTGTAAATACTTACTCTCACCTCGCCTCGCTTGCCCTCTTGTGTCCCGTAAAGCATTTCAGCTGTGCGTATTTGCAATAAGGTTAAACTCTAGTGACATTTTGGACGACTTTCACCGATCGGGCCGACATGGAAGCCTGCTTTCTTCATCTTTTTGTCTTTTCGTCCTGGCGCAGAGAGACGACGGCGGTAAGGATCGGTAGCTAGCCTCCAATCCAATTGCTATTGGAACACGAGTACCAAGACTCCAAATAATTTGTAACTTTGTATATACTTTCAAATTCTGTCAGGTCTTCAACACTTTTCAACTGGACTAGGACAGTGAACAGATCTTTGGAATAGAACCACGCTCTTCTCTGTATGAGAAAACCTGATTACGTTAATATCGACGTACAATGTAACTGTATATAACGCGGTAAGCGGTATGACTAATCTTGATTAATCGAGGAAGGATTAATCCTATGAACTTTCTTTATAAATATTCCATTGTGTGAAATTGATTCTTGGAGTATGACGATCAGCATGGTATTTATAGTTTAACTAAACTATCTATATCTATAGTTTAACTATCTATATTTATAGTTAAATTAGATATCTATATTATAGTTTAACTATCTATATCCATAGTTTAACTAAGTACACATACAGAACCAAAAAATTAGTAAAAATGTAAAGTCTAATTGTCTAAAAAGTCTAATCGAAACAAATCTTATGATTACAGTTACAGAAAATACACTTTCATTGGAACTTTGCCGGATCCATTTTACTTTAAAAACGATAATCTCGAATGTTGAAACTAAGCAGTAAGAAGTACGTTGCCTGTATGTATGAAATCAGAGAAGAAAAGGCTCGTGTGTACGATTTTCGGCCATCATCTTCCAGCATAAGTAAGCATAATTGCGCGAGTGCGAGATCATCGTTAACTCATTAGACGCACCGTCCGTTCTGTCTTCGAGGAACTCTCGACGTACATGCGTGCGATATACGTATGTACGTAAGTAGGTGTATACACGTATACACGTGGAATCATGTCCAGGAGAAAGCGAGAATATACGGTGGCGCGCGCGCGCCAGAACAAGAGCAAACGAACCGTTCGCGGATTTTCCAACCTGTGCAAAACGAAACAACGTTTCCCCTCGATTTGTATTTTCACCCTACGTTTCCCGTATATGCTCCTTCGCGTGCACGTACCTACCTATGTACATTTATACGTATACATTGTACATACATTTCTTATCTCACGCGAAGCGTATCGGCGGCTGATTTACCGGTCGCCAGCTAGTTATTTTCAAGCCGATCGCGGAAGAAACTCGTCTCAAGTCTAAATATACGTATACATATACTGGTATGTCTCCACCACATTATGCGATCGCGGATATCAGTTGTGCGGCAGCTTGAGTCTGTGATGTTGATTATAAAAATTCGTCGTTGAATATCTATATACATGAACCTATACAGATATATATATGTGTGAATCTAATAGATACACTGGTCACTTATAGTTTTTTTTTTAATTATCATATATTATTTATATTTTTATATTATAGCTTTTTATATTATACTATTATTACTTATTTATATTATTTATATTATTACTTATATTTTTATATTATAGTTTTTCTTAATTATCATTTATTTTTATTACTATTTGGCGAAATTTGTAATTATTCAAAAATTATTTGCAAAACAGGGTTTAAAACAGGAGTGGACAACCGTGGCGCGTTTCCTCGTGGTGCACAGAGCGTCACAAGTTTTGATAATAAATGAAAGGAATAACGCAAGATATAAAAATATTGAAATTAGCTCAGTTATTTTCAGAATTTAGTCGGTACATCGTCACGATCAATTTTAAAAACAAAATCTGACACCTTTCCTCTTATTCCAGGTGATGTTGACTTGATAAATTTTTGGACGATCCTCCCGAAGCTTTTCCAAACCTCAGAAAGTTTGCACAAAAATACCCAGTACTTATAGACGTGAACACTTTTTCCTTTATTAAAAATTAACCGATCGAGAACGACCGATGAGAATTTAAAGAATTCTCGCTACACTAAACAAAGTCAACTCTCTCAAGAGATATAAATAATTTGGTCAAGAACAAACAGGCTCATAAATCCCATTAAAAAGTAAGCTGTTTTGTTTTCCTCTAATGTCCTTCTTGTACGTTTTTCATTTATAAACACGTTTCTGTTGTTAAAATAATTTAGCGGCGCATCGGAACTCATTTTTTAGAAAAAAATTGTCACGTACGACAGAAGAGTTTGGCCACCCCTGTCTCAAAAGATCACCAGACGTACGATCCACGCGTGTGTGTTGGATAATTGTTCGCTTAAATAATCGCATGCATGCGAGAGTCGACGCCACGTAAGTGCTTGGAACCGACCGCGACGTGGAGAACGACGGATACCTGTGGAATATCTAGGGCGCAGCGCGAAGTGGTTCTCCTTGGGCAACCGATGCCGCATTCCGACCTATGCATCTGCTGCCAGTTCCTTTTCCCCTTGTTTCTCTCCATCTTTTCACTGCTTTTCCTTATTCTTTTCACTTTCGTTCCGTCGCCAGTTGAACCTCGAGAGATGCTTTGGACACGTATGTACAAACGTTGCTCCGTACGATCAATTGCTCATCGTCGAATTTTAACCCTTTGCCCTCGACAAATTTTCTTTCACGTATCATCTACTAGCAGTTTATTCTTATTACGAACTTTGGAAATAATCCATTCAAGTGGTACTTAACGCGAATTTGGTTAATTATATCTTTCTAACATGTCGATATCTTTAAATTTAAAGCAATCATTAACGTGCATTGCTAGAACAAGTATAATATACAAGAGTTAACGATACATACAGTTTCAACAGTTTCATAGAAAAATAATATCCTTCACCTTTTTTTTTTAAAGTTCTAAACATTCGTAAGAAGCAATAAGAAGTCTAGTTTATGAATTATCGAGTGTCAGTTGACTCAGGACTGTCTTCAGAAGTTTCTTCTTTCTGAAATTCTTTTGTTCTTCTTACGTCGTTGTTATAGTTTTCACTCTAGGGATCTGTACAGATGTTATACTAAAATACATTGCATCATACAACACCAAATGTATACGTTCATTATAATTATCATTATCAGCAAATTATAAAAAGAGGAAGTATATTTAAGTACGTTGTCTCCTTTCTGAAGGGACAGTCGAGTGCAAAGGGTTAATAATGGAAGAATTAATCGTAGAAAGTTTGAATTTATTGTTACTTGCATAAACAATCTGTTAGAATCTCGTTACGCATTACAGAACATTTTAGAAATGTTAGAATCAGTTATTTGTCGCATTAATTTGCGAATCAGACGAAACTCTGTGGACGTGGTTTCTGATCGAGGTTCGTCGTTGCTCATCCAGAAAAATATCTCAGCTGCCACGCTCGGACAGGGACAGTCTGCGTGTCCTTGAAATTCGACGATGCTCTCCAGTTTCATTCTATTGGAAAGAGAGCAGGACGGCTCTCACCTTTCATCGCGGTTTTGTTCTCTGCAGTTTCCATCGATGAGAAAAAAATTTGAAGAATTACAAAGAAGGGAAATCATACCCTTTGATTCTCTGATCTTTTTTACATTGTTCTTCCAGTCCTGTCCTTCGAATTTCGTACGATGTACTTTCTGGAAGATGCATTATTCGAGTGGTATTTTAGAAAGCAAATGAATGCCAATTGCGCCTATTGAGGAAGGATGGAAAAAAAATCTAAAAGTCGTTTGTTGAGCAACAGGCAGCTTGAGAAATGAAATATGTATCTGAGGCGATATTTAAGTATAATCCTATATTCTCCTCTATTCTTGTCAATCCTGTGTCGTTGTTAATCCAAGGATGGTATCCTTGAATCATAATTCACGCCACGAACTGATAATTCTGATTTAAGTACAAATGGCAACTTCAGATGGCAACTTGCTCATATTTTTTTATTATCGTTGATTAATTTCGTCATCAAGTATGACTCGTCAAGAAGAGACGAATATTCAAGAATTTTGTTTTTGGCTATTTCATTTTCCAAAAGAAATTTCTTACAGCGATAATCTAAAAAAAAGGGAGGGAGATATCTCGATAAAATAATGGGCGAACAGGAACATAAACGTAATCAAATTATCGGACATTATGCCAGCCAAGTATTCTTTCATCATGTTAGGCTTAAATCATTTACATTACGTTCACGTACACGTGACATAACAAGCACACTTTGAGCACGTTGAAAAAACTATTACATTCGTAATATCGTCAATTAACGCGATTCTCGTGTCGATAAACGATTCATCTATCGATAGGGAACATAACAAATATCATACGTAGCAGATTTGTACCTCTTACAATTTTTTTTTTTTTATCTAGAAAAACTGGGAGAGATGCTTGGAAAAGAATATTTAGAAGAACTGGAAAATAATTGCTTCGGAAAACGTGTTTTCTTTTTAAATTTTTTATTATTTTATTTATATAAATATAATTAATGGATTTCTTTCAGTATTACGTGCGAGAAACAATAAATGTAGGTATGAATATAAACAATAAATGAACAAGCTATGACTTTTTCAAACCCTTCAGTTTTTCAGTGGCCACCCTGCACAAGAAACCGTGGGAGGGGGGAGGGGGGAAAGGAAAAAGGAAAAAAATGAATGGAAAGCGTAATGCCTTTTAATTACTCTTTCGAAACACGCGAATCAATCTGGCACGAAGAAATCTACAGAAGGAAAGGATATGAAATTACGTCCAGATCCCGGAGGGAGGGAGGGGAAGCCTTGGTGAAAAAAATCTCGAACAATCTCTGTTCCGTTCTAAATGTATCTAAACATCGACTTCGCCGTGAGATAACCGATCGTTTGGGAGTGCAACGGAGTGCAACCACCGGCAGTGTTGATTGCCTCCATCGGCCTCGCTTCACAAGGATTCCCTCTTTCTATTTGGCTAATCGGCCACGAGATCTAACGGTTTCTCATTATAATGCACCTGGATGCATGTTCGACTGTGTTCGATTGTGTGCACCGGACGCGACAGGCGAACGCGCCACCGTAGACGTCGGAGGATCGCGCGTTTGCCTAAGGTAAGCGCGGAATATAAATTCGGACGTTCGTTAACCTTTTTTCAGTGCGTTCGGAGGTAAATCATTCTCTCCTCGGGTTCCCGCCGTGTGAAGGAACGTTCTAGAATAGATAGAATATATGTAACAAACGACGATAGATATCAGACCTCGTCTAAATAGGTGTCTCGAGAGTGAAATAAAAATTTTACTACTTTACCGTTAGGATTGCTACTTTACCATATGTAACGACAATTTTTTTCCCCAAGTAGAATAAACATTGCCATCTAGTGACAATGATTTAACTTATTATGACATAACCTATATCATAATTTATATAATTATATATTATATAATTTAACTTATTATAACATAACCTATATTCTAATCAAGTAAATTGAGTACATTTATTGTTAAATTATATTATAGACAACTGCATTAACTTACTTTAAAAAAAGTAAAATTTCATACAGTATCAAAAAACGTAATGACTTATGGGTACATTGCTTATTACTTTTTATCGGAAAAATAAATGGTTCGAAAAATATTCGTTCGACGAACGTATTTCGTCGTCGTTTCATCTCAAGCGAGAAGAAGATCGAGGTTACCGCGATTCTCTCCACGATCTGTCGGTCGAGACGATTCCATCGAGCGAGAAAGGGATCTCGATATTTATCGATTGTTCAACAGCTATTCGATTGCAGGCCGAGTTTTGTACACGGGACGGAGAAAAGTGGACGCGGCGACGCGCGATGACGTGACAGTCGAAAACTGGGGAATACTTAAGAGTCGCGACGCGCAAAGGCGAACCCGGAGAAAACCGTTTGAACGCTTCGCGGAATAAAATAGCCGGATTCTCGCGAAAGGGAAAAGACGTGCCAGGCCAGACGGACTGACAGACGGAACGTGAATATCTGGGCTAACGATTTCGAAATCTCGTTACTAGAACTTTCTTCGGAAACGGATTGCCCCCTTGCGATAAATCATTTCCAACGAAGTGAACGTAACAGAGGGAAATTTGAAGTTGGCTTCTAGAGCCAATTTCATTTGACAAACTTATCGCTTTTACTGAAGAGGGATGCGATATTTAAACATATCGAGTAATCGAAATTTTATCGTACTGGAATGTTTTTTTCTCGATATTAAGGTGGTAATATCTATTGTAAAGTTTCTGATTGCGTAAATGAAATTATACGTAAGAGAAATTATAGTATCATCCAGTAAAAATATCATCTAGTAAATAACATCAACTTTATTTTTCAGCAAGTACCAATGAAAAAGAATCAAATCAGCGAAAATCCACGTATAGCGTCATCTAATAAATGACATCAATTTTACTTTTCATTAAGTATTAATGAAGATGAATTACTAGTGCCTCAAATCGATGAAAATACAGTATCATCTAATAAATAACATACACTTTATTTTTCATTAAGTTAATGAAGATGAATTACTAGTGTTTCAAATCAGCGAAAATCCACATATAGTATGTTAGCTAATAAATAACATCAATTTTATTTTTCAGCAAGTACCAATAAAAATAAATTACTAATGGCTCAAATTGGCAAAAATCCATGTGTAGCATGTCATAATAGATAACGTCAACTTTAGTTTTTAAGTGTCAATAAAGATGAATTACTAGCGTTTCAAATCAGCGAAAATCCACATATAGTATAATTTAATTTAAATAACATCAACTTTATTTCTCACAAAGTATTAACGAAGAAGAATTAATAATCTCTCAACGAAAATCCATGTATGGTGTCATCTAATGAATAACATGAATTTTATTTTTCGTTAAGTATTAATGAAAATGAATTACTAATGTCTTAAATCGGTGAAAATCCACATATAGTGTCATCTAATAAATAACATCAACTTTATTTTTCAGCAAGTACCAATGAAGATGAATTATTAACGTCTCAAACCAAAATGTATAGTATCAAATAACTTTACTTTTCACTAAGTACCAACAAAGATGAATTACTAGTGCCTAAAATCCAGGTATACTTATAAACCGACGTCGCAGCATACTTGTTAAAAGCTTGATATAACCTCTTTACGATCCGACTTTTACGTGCTACAGCTACTCACATCGAACTATATAATCGCGACGGACGCGAAATAGAAATGCAAACCACGTTCGAAGAGGAGGTTCTCTGATCGACACTCCCGTAGTAACATGGACGCTCACGCCGACCGCGACGACAGAAGCGTCGAGGAAGACGCACGCAAGCGGAGGAGCTAGCGCCAGCAGCTAGCAACTTCTCGACGCTGACTCGTGGTGTCAACAACCTCGTCGTTACTCGTGCCAAACGTAGCCGCAGCTACGCTGACTTTTACCCTACGTTCCACCTCCTCTCGTCGCCGTCGTCCATGTGTCGGCTTCTGATTCTTTTCACCAGCGATGGCAATCGATCGCGACATCGTAATAATTTCGTTCCACTAAGCGAGCGAGTCGTTGCATGAAAAGTAAGGCGTTGCGCGGAAAAAGTCTGACGTAAATCCATTGTGCAACGTTCTCGCGATTAACGATATTCCTTGTATTTGCATTGACGTTTCGCGCCGTGCATTGTGTGCATCGATGTCGGAAACTTAATTGATGACAATTCTGAGTCTTCCTGGACTGAGCTAATTGACGATGAGTCTTCCTAAGATGAACTAAAATGAATTTCGTTGATCTCCATTGTTTGACACTCGATGTTGACTTTTATAGCAAAGTAGGAATCAGGACACGTTGTACAATAGCTTCAAATTGTAGAGGTTATGATTTGAAACATGGTAGACATATTAGTCACGTTGGTTGATTATTTGAGTTAGGCGTTTCTCTTTCTAACAATATGTTATATTATCTACACCGGACAGTTACGCTTTCTTGGCACTGTTCAGTTTTTGAATAACTTGATTGTACGAACATAATTAACGTCACTCGGTGTAAATCTAAATATGTGTAAAATTTGCAGGAAAGAAGCCATACACCGCCAATTCACTCTGAAAGTTCTTTCTCGAGTTATCGACAACCGACGAGGCAGAGTCAAGAGTCCTATCGAAATAAGAGCAGAGACCAAGGATGCTGAAACGCTTGTCGCGGCCAGTAGCAATCGACTTTCACTGTTGCGTTCGGCGAATGATGCGCCGTGTTAGATAAAAGCATGCTGGGTCGGTCGGCAAAAGCCAACGCTGCGATCAACCGGTTTTCATCCACGCTGGCAACGCTTGTCCCCGCGTTTAGAGCAGTGGATGCAGCGCGCCGCTTCTCTCTCGCATTATGCAATTCGACTAAGACGTTACCTCGGCTTACGTATGTACGTATCTAGAGTTGGAGAACATTTAAGAAACTACCGAGAGAGGAAGATACAGCGGCGCTGCGTGTCGTTTCGCGTCGCGTGAAAACGATCAGCTATTGCACGTGACTACACGTGCGTACAGATGTCGTATCCCATTTGCCTCGAATCTTATTAAATTTCCTATTAAAGGAACGTTGATACATTAAATGCAATTTACGACATTTGTCCGTGGCCATTCCATGCTTCCTGATCGCTTTCTCATTGAGCAAAAAAGTGCCTCCGGTCCTTGAACGTAAGAACGCCCCGTTAAAACATTTCAAGCTTACACCTTGATATTTGCGGAAAAGGTCGTCGCCAGGCCGACTCGAAACACGAAAATGTTCTTTCGCTTCATTTAATTTGAAAGTCAGATTCCTGCGAGCGGCGATTATTGCAGTCTAAATGGACGTTGACGATCGATCCATAGATCCATGGGTCCACGAATGAATATGGAACGCAGAATTTTTACAGACGGATGCAACTTTTATAGACGATTGGAAAGATTTCATTAAGGATGACGAATGGAGGATAAAATGATTCACCATGTCCCCGTGAACTGATGGTAATATCTGCTGGCTCGCATAAAAGACGGCGCAGCTGATCTATACGCAACTCTTTGCGTTGTTTCGCAAATCTCCAAACTAGAATTTATCTACGTGGGTGATTTGTCAGGACTGATTAGTCGTGCGCATTTGTTAATTTAAATTAATTAAAATAATTATGTCAGCCGGGGCGTGTAATTCTTTGAATCGAGCCTGATACGCCTTGGACGGTTCCGGTGACACTCCGGCTGGATATCACTGGCATACAAAACACCCGAACGATAACGGTAACTCGAAGAAGAAGAAGAAGAAAAAAAAAAACACTCGATACCTGACTACTCTTTGTTCGCGAAAAGACCTACATCATTTTGAATAATTTTCAGGGAAAGTGAAAGAACAACGTTATAAAACTGATAAATCTTTGACTCGATTGTTTCAATAATACGTGCTTTTCTTTTTTTAATAATTTTCAGACTAAAGAACAGCGATACTTCATATACGAGAATGCAGCCAGCTCGATCAATCACACGAACTGTAACGCTGCTATTTTCACCCCTCGCTCTCATCGCTCGGTCTCCATCTGGCATTCATATCTCCAGCTATCCTTGGGCTAGAGACTCCCGCATACTTGCCCGCCAACGGATAACGCGTTTCCAAGTATATATCGAAGCAAGCCTTCGAGTTTTTTTCACCAAAAGGTTGATTAAATCAACGAGGGAGAGAGAGGAGAACAAAGAAAAATCACACATGTCGTCACGAACGAAGTAACGTCCTTTAAAAGTATATAAATATATTGTATATAAATGTATGTGTATAAATGTATATGTGTGTATACAGGTAAATATAAAGCAAGATTGAGAGAGAGAGAGAGATTCAGGGCAAGGTAATGAGAGAACTACCAGGAGGAGGAGGACGACCGGTTGTCCTACTCGAATCGCTCTTGGGGCTTAAGGAGATCAACGAGCCGAATATTAATCAGCAAGAGGCGCGGCACCTGCATCCTTGGGGCACGTCGAGGTACATACGTAATACTGGCTGCCACCGCAGTAAACCATCGCACACCGTGGCGCACTCTTACCGTTATCCGGAAGGTGTTTGTGCATTAGCCATCCGGCACGACGACATAAGCCCCCGGCTTCCTCCTCCAGCATCGTATTTGGATGGCCCTGGTCTCGCGCGCGCTTAGGCTCGTCACGTTGAACCACCAGCTCATGAAAGTTCATCGAAGTCTTCCGCGTATTGTATCTTCCGTCCTTCGTCGTATCACATGCAAACAAGATGCAAATAGAGAGACAGATTTGAAAATAAATCGGTCGAGGAAATATGCGAGTAGAGCAGCAAGTCCTCCATGATTATACTCTTTCAACCGAGAACAAATCAATGATCGATCACTTAAATGGTTTTATTACATCACATTTTAGGAATGTCAATAGGAATGAATTCTTCAGCTTCGATTGACTCGCATGCAAATTGGCATCAGACTGGAAATGCGTTGAGATGAATATGCAATTTTAATACTTCCAAATTTAATATTTTTTATCTGTGTGAATCGTGTTCACAGATGACTTTCATTCAGCGTGAGGAAAATTTAAAGCACGAATTTAAAAAAAAAAAATGAAAGAGCAAATTTACTTTAATGGTAGTTAAAAATATTAATGATTTTACTTAACACGTTCCACCGGAACGAATGTTCACAGTGTTCACGGATCACTTTCATTCAGAGGGAAAATTGAAGTGCGAGTTTAAAGAAATTAAATCGAATAAAAAATGTTCACAGGTGGTGTAAAGAATTAATTATTCCAACTGTCTAACTTGCGTAACTTTTTCACCAAAATGCAACGTTTTATCTTTGTTTACTTGCAGTTACGCCAAGGTCGATCAACCTACGATATCTCGACAGACTTTTTCCGTCACGGACACGAGCGTAAGCATAGATACCAACCAATACGGCAGTACGATTTATTCGAGAAACTGGATTAAACTAAGCGAGAAAGTTCCGTTGTCCGTCGAAAGTGTCTGAGAGGCATTAACATGCGCCTCTCTGCGCATTGATTGGAACCGTGTCTTTGGAAATTCCACGTTGAATTGGAATATCCCCTCCCCCCGTATTCGTTTCTTCAAATCTAGAAATCACGGACGTGTCAAACACGGTACTTAAGAAATGATGAAACATAATGTGTATATATATATATATATGTATCTGAGAAGCTGGTATTATATCACTACGTTCAAGAGAAATTCAGTGATAGTTTCTTTCAACCGGTTTCTTTCAAAATAATCTCGCCTCAGTCACAATCGAACTTCACCGCAAGGTGTATAAGTATAAGAAAAACACCGTGAGTGTAATTACAAAATTCTTGGGGTTTTCTTGCAGGAAGGAGCGCAGAACAGCTTTCAGAAACGCGAACGGATGATGCAACTGAAGAAATGTCAATCATTCTGTTCAATTCAGCTGTGGACAAAGCAATTTACTCTTTTGGTTTAGGTTTAAATTAAGTTTAGGCCATATTTGTACTAACTAATTTTATTTGTTTTATTTATTATACCAATTGGTTTCTCCAAAGTAAGTATCTGCTTTAAGTCTAAACTTAAATTTCAGCTGTGCATAAAGCAATTTACTCTTTATGTTTAAGTTGGATTTAGATCAAGTTTATACTAACAAATTTTACTAACAACTTTTGGTATTATATCAATTTCTCCAAAGTAAGTATCTGCTTTAAGTCTAAACTTAAACTTCAGTTGTGCATAAAGCAATTTACTTTTTAGATTTAGGTGAGGTTTATACTAACTAATTTTACACTTTTATACCAATTTCTCCAAAGTATCTGCTTTAAGTCTAAACTTAAACTTCAGCTGTGCATAAAGCAAAAGAACTTGCTCTTCCGGTTTAAGTTAGGTTTAGGTCAGATTTATACTAACTAATTTTACACTTTTGGCATTGTACCAAAGTAAGTATCTTTATGCTTTAAGTTTAATCTTCAATTTGGTTAACAAATATTAACCTGCGCTGATTCCAGATTGCCCAAAAGCTTCACGCCAACGACCAATTAAAGTAGCCACCGCAGTGATAAACCTTGCGAGAACTGAGAATGTAAAACAGGGTGGTGTTCGTCGGAGCTAGGTGTCACGATGAGTCACGTTGCTCGCAAGTACTCGACCTTCGCCCTCCCCTTCCAGCTATCTCCGTTATTTTATATCGAATAATCGCCTCGACCACACGATTATTGTTATTATTATTATCATCACGTTACGATCGGTCAGTGTTCTGCATATCGTACGCTGACTGTGTGCGAAAACAGTCGCACCCGCACGAATTCGACGAATTTTGATGATTATGGCGCGACGAGAACAATAGCAAATGGGACAGTGATTTTTTAGAAGTGGAATGTTTAATTTTTCTTACATCTTACGTTTCCGTGGAATTATTTATATGCCTACGTATATGTACAATATAAATAAGTATATTTATTAATATTTATATATTTATACATTTATACAATATTTATTATTTAATATTATTATTATTTATTATATTAAATATTTATTATTTAATATAATATTATTTATTAAATTAAATATTTATATTTATATTTATTATTTATATTTATTATTATTATTTATTATATTAAATATTTATTATTTACATATTTATAAAATATTTATTAATATTTATGTATATAATATAAATGAATTAGCATTTTTACATTTATTTATTCATGCTTTGTTTAAATCAATAATATTTATGTGTGTGTTGGTAGATTTATTCATTATATGTAAATGGTATTCAAATATATATGTATATATATTGTTTGAAGATTTGATATTGTTAATGGAACGTGTTATTTCTTTTAGGTACTCTGAAAACGTTTTTCGCGATCGAATAAAAACGAACGATAACGATATCAGCCGGCGGAGAATCTTCGTTTCGAAATGGTCGTTGGACGAGGAAGAAACGATGCGAGCCATCGCGATTATTTATCGGGAAACGAATTTTGAGTGCGAAAGCCCAAGTTTGAAACCAGCCTGGACCGAAGAAGAAACTGGTCCCGCCAGTATTCAAACAACAGGCAAGAACGCACAAAAGTCGAGAAATAAAGAGAAATAGAGTAGAAACAGAGTGGGATGCGGCAGGATTCGCGGAGGTGCGGACAATATTGGAAATAAAAGATTATTTTAGCATTTGAGTGAGCGTGGAACGGGCGAGGAGGAGCAAAAGAGAGGAGGAGGAGGCGAGGAAAAAAGAACGTGGCAGACGTTATTACCCCGGGCCTCTGTTAGGTCTTCGGATGGCATTTTCAGCGAAAAGGAGAAGAATAAAGGGGGGAAAAAAGGAAGGGGAGATCGGGGCTGGCGAAAAAAAAAGGAAAAAGAGACGAGAGAGATAGAGAGAGATAAAGAGAGGGAGAGAAGAAACGTGAGCGAGGCATAGAGACGAAGGTGTACCTCTTCTTGAAGTGGCTTGAAACCGTGGAGAAGAGAAGGAGGTTCTCCAAGGAGGTGGAAGAGGAACAACACGTGACCAATGACTTATATAAAGGTGGAGAACGACAGGGCGAGAAACACAGAGTTCTCTCTGCGCGGTGAAACCTGTGCTCGCAAAATAGTGACAATAGTTGTTTCTTTTCTCTTTCTCTCTCTCTCTCTTTCTCTCTATCTCCTTAAACAAATACTTAATTACTGTACTATAATTCCGGGGGAAGAGTAATCTGAGATTTGCACCACGCGGGAGACACATATCCGTTACCATGAGGACGTACTACGTGATAGCTGCCATTCTGATCGCCGGTACGTACCCCTGAGAAATAAACGCGAGATACAATCACGAGGATGTTAGGGGTTGGAGAGTCGAGGAAACGGGAAGCGTTCGTCGGAGGCGAATGGAAACGGGGGAGGAAAAGTGTTTTGCTCGAGGACGATTGCGTTTGTCGTATTTTGTCGAAAGTGGAGGACACAAAGTGTGTGACATATGCCTGTGGATAGATCGGAAAGAGAGTGCATCCCTCTTTCGTCGTGACTGGCACTTGTCGTTTCACGAAACGAATAATAAAAGCGGGCCTGCCTGTGGAAATTGTTGATCTCAACCTCACGTTTCTCCAGACTCCGAACTTTGTTAACGTATGTTCGCCAAGAACAATCCAGAATTGCTTGCTTACTGTCGGATGAACTCGGTCGAATTGGAGAATTTATTGAGAGATTTTTGAAAAAGTGCTTTCAAATCTGCAATCTCGCCCGTAAGTCGTCTGGAAACTTCACTGCTTCCTCCTTTATTATTTTCTCGCTTCGTTTGTTATTATTCTTCGCGTGAAATCGTAAATAGAAGAAGAGTCGACGCTCTTTCAAGAGAGAACGATCCACTTTGAAAATGGTCTCATCCAGAACCGTAGGCTTTCTCTGTGTTCCAAACGAAACGTACCGTTGAAACGAGATCAAAAGACGTATGTATTCAGTTTCCACGGCGAGGAGAAACGCGTTCTCGACACGCGTTTCCATTCTTTTTTTTTTCTTTCCTTCCCTTCCCCTTCACCGGGCTTCAACGGGCAACCTTGGCCCAGATCTTGACCCTTCTTTTTATCAGCGACCACCATCGTCGGTCGATCGGTGCAAATTTCTCCATCGAACTTTTCTCGTCGTAGGACAAAAAAAAAAAATTTTCAAGATCTCCAGTCGACACATGGCTTTGAACCAGGGCAATCCTCAATCCTCGATTCCTTTTTGATTGCCGGATCAGTTCCGGAGAGAAACGAAAGTGAATATCGCAAGCTTATGAAATAAAATAAAAAAGCAAAATTACAGAGGATGAAAGGTGTATGTACGTGTGCATGAAAGGGAGAGAGAGAGAGAGAGAAATCGAGCGCGCGCGCGCAAACACACAGGCACAGACACGAGGGAAAGAGAATCGAGTGAACTGGGGAGGGCCCAGTCACGAGTCGCGTTGGTGTTGCTACTGCTGCTGCTGCTGGGTCTGGCTCTAGGCCCCGAAGTGAAAGCGCCTGGCGAAAGTCGCTTCGTGTCCTTACATAAGACGTTTAGGTTATTCCAGACATCATATGCCGCGAGAAAAGAACAACAGATTATTAGGAGTAAATTGCCAGGCTGGTGTGACAATGACGCGACGAAAAAGGCAGCATTAGCATCTCGACAATAACTGAAATCGTCGACACCGTCGGAATGAAATGAAACGCGATTGAAAATTTGCATGAAAGGTATACGTGGAGTTAAAAAAAGACGAAGACGGTGAAAGAAGGCGCTCCCGACATTGGGGATAGCGTTTTGCTGTTGGTCAACTTTGTTGTTTGATTTCTCTCCCTCCGGCAAAATTGAACGCGATTACCGTCATCCCTACGATTAAACGTTGTATCGGGTATAACCGCAGAACAAACGTCTTGAAAACTCTAACCACGATCGGATGATTTCCGATGCAGAACTATATATTTAGAGAAGCAGATACCGAGTAAATTAAGCGTGCTAAACCACAGAGAGATGATGAAAATGCTTGCCATTTATTCTATTGTTTGAACGATCTTTACGTTTCTAAAGAATTTCTAAAGAAGCAACTTGTTCCTCCACCTAAAAAGAAACAAACGAGATTTTACACTCCAATACATTTTATCATACATTACTTTCCAAGCTATGATACATCACCGTTTGTACTTTTTTTTAATAATAGGTGCGTCTTTTTCAATCGTAGGCACAACCGCTCAGGAATCGTTCAAATGCCCAGACGACTTCGGCTTCTATCCTCATCACATATCCTGCGACAAGTACTGGAAATGCGACAACAACGTCGCGGAATTGAAAACTTGCGGCAATGGGCTGGCCTTCGACGCGAGCGACAGCAAGTTCCTCACCGAGAACTGCGACTACCTCCATAACGTGGATTGCGGGGAGAGGACGCAGCTAGAGCCGGCGATTAGCACGCCGCATTGCCCCCGGCTCTACGGGATCTTCCCCGACGACAAGAAATGCGACGTGTTCTGGAACTGCTGGAACGGGGAGGCTTCCAGGTATCAGTGCAGCCCTGGACTCGCCTACGATCGTGAAGCCAGAGTCTGCATGTGGGCCGATCAAGTGCCTGAGTGCAAGAACGAAGGTACGCCTGAAAAAGGGGAAAGAATAAAGATAAAGATGAAAGTCTCTTTGATTTAAGAACATCTTTCTTCAAATCAGTTTCTTCAGTTCACACTTCACCTTACTTCAGTTCAGTTTAGTTGGATTTATTTTTTGGTTTAGCTTTAGTTTATCTTTACTTAATAGGAATTATCATACTGTTAGTACCATTTTGATATCATTCGTAAAATACTTTCCTGTCAACTGAAATTTGTCTGTTCTATCAGTCGTGGAAATTAGATGAAACACAACTTCTGTCAGTTTACTTTGGCTTACTTTGGTTTAGTTTGATTTAGTTTCCTATCTCTACTTGATAGGAATTATGATACTAACAACACTATTTCAATATCATCTTTCCTACCTGAAAATACCAAAAAAGTTTGGCTACTCTATCAGTCGTGCTAATTAGATGAAACACGGCATCTGTCATCTTATTACCAGTTTACTTTAATTTAGTTTCTTATATCTACTTGATAGGAATTATCATACTACCAATACTATTTCGATATCATCTTTCCTACTAACTGAAAATACCAAAAAAGTTTGGCTACTCTATCAGTCGTGCTAATTAGGTGAAACACAGCTTCTGTCATCTTCTTGCCAGTTTACTTTGATTTAGTTTAACTTGATTCAGTTTTCTATCTCTGTTTGATAGGAATTATCATACTACCAACACTATTTTGATATCACCATTCTTACCAACTGAAAATACAAAAAAAATTTGGCTATTCAATCAGTCTTTGACTATTGTGCAAACTATACAGATGGAATACAGTTTTGATTCTCTAAAAACAAATTATTTATCGACAACGATCGTTTCTCCTTGAATATTATTCGTCGCTGTTCGATACGTTCAACTGGTACCCACGCGCATCCTGTGTCTTGTTGGTTCATGCGGCGTACGATTCAAAGTAGTAGATCCTTATTTCGCCATTCACCGGCTTCTTCCACTTGACCCGTGATGTGGTGTTGTTGACTGCTGGCTAAGCAACTTACTCGAGTGTATTTAGTATAATACAATGTATGTACGTGACGTGACCCGACGCCTCTCTCTTCCATCACACACAACACGGCATTCTATTCAAACGCTTTCGTGTTTATCGCATTGCACAGAGGTCGCAGGAGGTTTTACGTGTCCGGCTGCGGGCGAAGTGAGCGGAGCATCCGGCAGCTTCAGCAGACACGCCCATCCAGAGGACTGCAGAAAGTACTACATATGTCTGGAAGGTATCGCTAGGGAGTACGGCTGCCCGATCGGTACCGTCTTCAAAATCGGCGACGCCGACGGCAGCGGCGCCTGCGAGGACCCCGAGGACGTACCCGGATGGTAAGTCCATCTTACACTTTTAGATGCAAGATTTTTTTCTAAAACTTGTTTCAAGTTGAAAGTTTCATTTTTCCTGCTCTCTCTCTTTTTCTCTCTCTCTCTCTCTCTCTCTCCCTTTCCCTCTTCCATCTTTCTGATATTGATTGATCCTTTTAGCTGATATTAAATCAAGGATTTTAGTTTATCAAACGAAGAATAATTTACCAATCGATACCTCGATCTCTCGCTGTAGATTCTTGCGACAGAATTCGAGATACTACGAAACACGTTATTGAAACAAGTAACATGGCGGATTGCCAGATTGCTGAAATCCGAAGAAACGTTAAATTTTCTTCTGTATTTTCTACTTCAAGTTCTAGTCAACACTTGAAAAGTGTTAAAAGCAGAATTAAGAGAGAGATTGCCACGTAAATTTAAGCAAATCAGGAAGCTTTGCGACCAGACGGTTACGTAAAGACAGAAATTCTGGATAAACCTGAATGGTTCCTGAGTGGTTATTATATTATCATTAAAATAAAACTCAACCTTAAAAGTTCGAGATATATTTCAGCTTTTTCTTTTCGAGTGACGTAATTAAAACGGACACACTCTCGATACACTCTCGTTGCTCGCATAACGGGTAGATGGCGGCTTTACGTAACAGCCACCCAAATGTTGGTAACATAATATTTACATAATCTTCTTTCACGACAGGAATATCACGTGTGGGAAAGCCCAATAATCGAGACGTGTTAAAACCAAATTTTAATTTGAAAGCAAGCAACAGAGTAAAGATGTGCATCATTTAAAAATTCCATCGTTTAACCACTTGCGCTGGCAACTGATTGCGGACCATAACGAGTGACCAAACCGCATACAATAATTTGTCGTTTTTTTTTTGAACTCGTCGGTATGATATCACTGGATAGAAATGATTGAGAAGTAATAAATTTATTATTCGTTTTGCCTGTGTATTTCGTTATACTTAAATATATTTAAAACTGAGAAAATATTGCAATTTTAGGACAAAAAATTCTCGACGTGCGTGGCACGTCATTCCAGCGCAAGAGGTTAAGCAATTATAGTACAAATAGAACATTTCGATCAGGGCGCAAACCACATGTAATTCCTCTCGATGATCAAGGCGAAGATTACCATAAATATCGTTGATTAACAAAAAAAAAAAGTTTTCTAACAAATATAATTAATTAATACGATACTTGTCTTTGTTGTAAAACAAAGATCATCCAATGTACTTCATTGCGAAACAGAAACTTTTTCACGTATGGATAATATAATATAATACATTTACATGCAAATCAAGCTTGAATACTCGCTCAGATATCGTATTCGTAACGCACGTCTCTTTTTTTTTCGGGGACACGAAACGTGTAGAACGTGTGTCTCCTGTAGAACACCGCACCGCACTCGCGTACTAAACAAGTAAAGATCGTCTCGTTCGTAATCCACTTCATTTTCACGTACACGTGATTAACTGTAAAAAAAAAGAAAAAATTAAAAAAAAGAGAGAATGACACGGCTGCACGCGAGGTAGTAGGTAGGTGGCACGCTCACGCATGTCCTAACTGCCGGATTTCCCCCGGTGTGTTCTGCTTCACAGTGAGGATTACTACGGTGACCTGGATCTAAAGAGCATCAGGAAGAGCGAGCTGCTTGCCGGAATTCAGAATTCGGGCGAGACCAGGAAGCCTCCTCAAGGCAAACCGAGGCCCCCGTCGGCACCTGCCAGGCCCAACGCACCCCTTCAAGAATAATTTCCAAATTCCACCGCCCATTCTTCTCCTCCTTCTCATTGTCTCTTCATCTCTCTTTCTCTCTCTTTTTCCTCCCCTCTCCTCTCCTATTCCTCGTTTCTTCCCTCCCATCCTCCCTCCCTCGTCGCTATTACATCACACATACACAGTGGCACACACACAGTGACACGCGCGCGCATATACAGACACGATGATCACACACTTGTTCGAACATGAACAATCTTATTCGAACTCTCGGTATCCATGAAACACACACACGTACGTACACGTGTACAACGCCAGAAGCCAAGAGTGCCCCGTTTGAGCCAAATTCTTCTAGAATCGCGTATATTCTTTGGTTTCGCGTGCACGACGGGGATAAAGGCCACGATGAAAAATCGGCATTTCCGAGACGTTCCTTCGCGAGTTGTTCTTACCGCGAATGTCTCCCTGCTGAGAGGAGAGTAAATGTCAAATTCCTGCGTTCCTCCTCGAACGCGGCAACCCGTGGCTAGCACAGTTAGTAACAATCAATGGACCGTTTGTTTTTACACGATTTTAATTCTCCACGAGCGTTGCTTTCGCTCGTCTTAATTAATTAAATTAAAGCGAGCAATCGTACAACATATCGGTGGAGATGATTAACGGAATTGATTGTATCGACCAACGCACGCCTGAAAAATTAATTAAAAACTTAAAAATTCATCTTTCTTCTTTTATTTACTCCAAATCTTCGATTCCATCGGAAATTCGAATTCGATGAAAATGATTCGTATCGTCTCGTATCGATAACCTTTCTTCTCGTTCTTTCTTGCCTCTTGGTCACTCTGTTTTCCGTTCACACTCCCTTCATTATCGACAGACCGTACGATCGATTTCAAGTGAAAAAAAGTTCGAATGTTAGCACGTGTCGCAAAACGTGTTCATAGAAACGCAGAATCTGGTCAGAATCTCTCAGACAAAAATTCGAAGACGTGGTGCAAACGAACTATAACCTCTTTCTTTTTCCTTTTATTTCAATTTTTTCAATTTAAGCTCTCCCTCCCTCTCCTCTAGACACTCTTGGCGGTCAGGCATGTTTGCGCAAACTAGACTCCATCCGTGTTTACTTTTAAGTAATGTGAAAGATTCGTACCTACAAATAAAAGGAACAAAATTTCGTGAAAAAAAAAGAACTGGTCTATGTCCTTCTCAAGAAACCTCCTGTTTTCTCTAATTTTCTGCCACGTGAGCGTTTATACGTGTTTGCTTGCCACTTTGGAATATTTATTGCTGTGACTCTAACCTCTGCATGCTCGTTACGATCGTAACAAATTTTATCTACCTGCGAATGATGTTTCTGAATGTTCTAAACGCTAAGAACACTCTGTCGTAATCAACTTAATGCACCAAAAGTCGTATCTAATTACACGTGCGTCTTGATGGGTCTGTGAAGAAATATATATCAAGCATATACAAGATAGGTGGATAATTGGAGATTGTCACATCAATCAGTGTCCTTTAACAATTGAAATAGTGAGTCGATTAATTTCTTTCCCTTTTCTTTCTTTTTTTTTCACCGTTCACTCTTATGCGATAAATTGTGCTTATCCATATCTACTTTTGCAAACTCGAAGTATACATTCAGGTATACATTTTGTAAAATGTGTGTGTGAATTTCATATAGCGAAGACTACTACGGTGACGTGGATCTGAAGGCACTGCGAAAATTGGGATACAAGAAAAAGTGACGAGTCGAGGAGCGCGCAAGTTCCAATAAATTTGAATATCGATAATCAACGCTTGTTTGTCAGGTCTGTGTCGAAAGATTTCGATAGCGATCGAAATCGATCGATTTCCCTTCTCATCTTCTGTCTTCTGTCCAACTAAAGCCCAACGAAGAAGTCCACATGACCCATAATTTCACTCTCACTTGTCATCGCGTCATCGTTTATGCGTTACGATAGATAACTGTATAGATAATTACTGTGTAAATAAATTACTGTCATAAAACAACATTTCGTTATATCATATTCGTTATATTATTTGTGCAATTTATTTATGAGAAACAAAACACTTGAATACTTCCTGTCGCCAGACATCAAATCCCTTTTCCTCTATTTTCCAAGGTAAAGTTATATATACAATACGAAGGACTATACGTATCAGTGAAAAGAAAAACTGTTCCCAAGTTACACTGTACATTTGTAATTTGATCGAGTTACTTTTCGATTATAACTCTTAATGTCCTCAGTCCAATTTAATTATTAAGAGAATTAATTCGCTTTTTACTGCAAACTTTCTTCTTTGAGTCTATTTGAATTTTAAAAATCTATCTGAGAGTTCTATCTAAGAACCTGTTTAAACTTAAAACGTAAGAATAAGAAGTTTTCGAGTATTTAGTTATAATATGTGTTTTATAAAAGTAAATTATAATTTACTATTATCATTATATGTGATTTATAAATGTTGTAAAATTTCAGATTGTAACTTGCATTATTAAAAGATTTCAATGAACACGAAGTTACTTTATTGCTTAGTTATTTAACGATCAATCTGGATACTTTACCAGGAAGCACTGTTTTCATAAAAATTCCTAATTGCGAATTAAATATTAAATTTGCTTTTTTAAATACTCACGCCATTGCGTGATTAATTTATACCACTACTATGATTAATTTATATCACAGTACTACATTTACGAGCAAGGTGCTGCCATCTATCGGATTTTTCCTGTTTACCCTTTTAATTTCAAAGAGAATTTAGAAACGCTTAGATGGCAGCACTGTCTTCAGACAAGGATGGCAACAGTGTGTGACAAGGATGTAATAGATTTTAGTTCTATAGTTTCATCGCGACGCTTGCATTTCAGTGTCCAATTTTCATTTGCAAAAAAAACTAATTAAGAGGATTAATTTATGAATTTTTGCAACTGTATCTTCGATTTTTGGACTCTGAGCTTGCTTTCTATGTCCCATTTGGCCTGAAGATGAACGAACAAAAACTTCAAGTTTTAATTAATAGATTGAGTGATCACTTTATTGATTAGAAACACACCGTATGAAACGTACTATATGACGAAGCTAACATAAATAAAGTATAAATACAATCAAAACGATTTGTTTAAAATTGATTAAAACGAGATGATCTGTTATAAAATTATCGTACAAAATGTATTTACAAAATATTTTACGCTACTAATTGTATGTTACTTGTAAAGTTATTAACAGTTTAATTGTACATCCTTCTTATCCTAAAAATTACAAAGCATTATTTACGAAATAAATTGCAGAAAATGTGTAAAATATAAATCTAATATTTACGTTAACTTTAATACATATTTTATTGCACATGTATGGACACGTTTCTGCTGAAACATACTATGTTATATGTATTAACTTTAACTATTGTTTAAATCGTACAATTGTATATTGTGTCAGGCGTAATATCAGTAATAAATTATATATAAATGTGGCTTTTTTTTAAAAATGTTATTTAAACTATGAAGTAAAAATAATATTTATCATATGCTGTACGTACATGAACATTGGTGTTGTGTTTTCACGGTTTCGTTCGAGGTAATATAATCCATTTTGTCAACTTTTGTTGACTAAACAGAATACTACATATTTGTATTATAAAAAGGTGAGAATTAATTATGTCTGTCAAAAGTAAAGAAGTCAGCCAAGGCAATTACATGAAAAAGTCTTAACCTCAAATGTTCGATGAGAATGATCAATGCTTTCTGAACGGCCGAGTATATTCGTGATTTCAATTTTTTTGTTGTATTTCTATCTTTATATTTTTGATCGATTTTAGAAACAATTGTGCAGAATTATACGAATACATGTTTTGAACGATGGAAACAAAGGGGCATGATTTAAAAAAGCAGCAAATACTATTCACAGATAGCAACTTTATGTATAAAAGTCAGAGTCAGGACGGGCATGTAAATAATTTGTTTAACAAGCGCTTCGAAATTGTAAATGATGAATCCAATTCAATGCCCGAACCGGCAATGATGTTTAAAGACTCACTGTGGGCAATTGACGAATTGCAACAAATAAAAAGCGAATTGAATAACGTGAAGAACTGCTTGAACAGTTACGATCTTGATAAGTGGCAATTGCACACAAAATTAAGAAATAGTGCAAAAAACGTCATACCACGATTGAAAACCTGTTTTCAACCAGAACTTTTAACTCAGGCATGGTGTAAATTTTATGAGATATTATCGTCATTTCCTTTAATACCAGTGAGCTATATCCATAACAATGACAAATACTTCAAGTCTGTTCATTTGTGCGAAGCACCTGGGGCATTCGTTACATCTTTGAATCACTGGTTGAAAACAAATGTTCCAGATATTAAATGGGATTGGCTCGCTATGACTTTAAATCCATATTACGAGGGTAATTTAGCATCTGTAATGGTCGATGACGATAGATTTATAAGACACACGTTGAAACATTGGTGTTTTGGAGAAGATAATACTGGAAACCTCATGAATTTGAGAAACTTGAACGAACTTACAAAGTTATCAGAACCACATTGTGATATATTCTTGATTACTGCCGACGGTAGTATAGACTGTACAGACGTCCCAGCTGAACAAGAAAGTGTTTTAATACATTTGCATTTCTGTGAAACCGTAACTGCCTTGCAATTACTAGCTACTGGAGGCAGCTTTGTGTTAAAAATTTTCACCATTTTTGAGTGTAATACGGTATGCCTGATGTATCTGTTATCTTGTTGTTTTAATCATATCAATGTAACAAAGCCAGCGACAAGTAAGGAAGGAAATTCAGAAACATATGTTGTATGCATGAATTTTAAGGGACCAACGTTTATCTCATCTTATTTAGGCAAACTTAAAGAACATTACGAATATGGCCCGAAACGAGCAATCTTTAGCAAACATGACATCCCTCGTATATTTATAGAAAAAGTTATAGGATGCAGTGAATTTTTTAAATCTCAACAATGCCTAGTCATAGCAAATAATATTATTACATTTAACTTTGACAATCCTAAAATGTTACAAGACGTAAAGCGAATTCAGTGTATGGTTGCCAATAAATATATAAGAAACTGTAACATAAAAAAATTAGAAGCTGGACAAATTGTTGGAAATGCAACTATATTAGGAGGAACCAGTAATCAATACAAAAGATCATTGCAAGGATCATATAATGATCGTTGTGAGAAACAACATTTAGCACCTCTAGATCGAATAGAGAGTTTTTATAACGATTTTAACAAAATTGAGATCCATATATTATCCGATCAAGTCATAAAAGTAAGCTGCTGTAATATTTCTTTCTTATTATATTCTACTGTCTTAATTGAAATTCCTTTTACAATATAAATTAAAATCTTATTTTTTATAGTACAAGTTCACTGAATTCCCAGAAGAATTACAAATTCGTTTTGGAAAGGTATTTCATAAAATAGGTACTTCCAAATTTTGCAACAAAATTGCTTTGAAAATAAAAAATGGTGTTGATGATATTCTTATTAAAATGAATCTCAAGATACAATTTCCTTCTATAGAAAATATAGAAAAACTGAGAGCTGAGATTCTTTGCAAACCAAGACACGAAGTTTTAATTTTCGACTATACAGATATTTATGATAGCCATAGAATAATCATAGAAATTTATGATACATTACAAAAGCTTGACGTTGGAACAACATTAGTTTTAATCGGTTACTCGTTACTTACTCATCTTAGTATTGAACTGCTTTATCTCATAAGTTGTGCCTTTAATTCATTGACAATTACAATTTGTAATGATGTAGGATTGAAAATTATATTGTATCACTATAATTACAATCCTAAAGTATTAAAATTTTTAAATGAAATTAATGCCGCTTCTTCTGAAGCTCAAAAACAAGAGAAAGCTATTTTGGAAATAATTTCTCCGTCAGTATTTTATGAAGGTAAAAAGAATTATAATAATTCAATCCAGTTACAGTTTTACAATATTACAGCTCACATTTTTTTCTTCTAGGATGTTGTTTGTGTTATTCAGCTGAATATCTTAATTACTGGATAATAAAAACATATATTTATCATGTATTAGATACATTAAAAAAAGTTGAAAAGGAATGTTGATAAAATTAATATATTCCATGTAGTGGTAATACCAAAGTTGTACCAAATTTATACAATAAATACATGAATATGTATATATATCTGTTTATAGTGTATGTTTCCTTCCCAGTTAGATAAAATTTGTAAATTAGTTTATTACTATACAGTGGGTACAAAGTATGAATATAAGGTATATAATTATGTATAAATTTTGTTTTATTTTCAAAACTAGTTATTTGAAATAACTATCAGACTCAAAATGAAAATCCTTGGCTGCTTCTTTTAAAAAAACATTATATTTTAGTATGAATAATAAAACAATTTTATTTCTTACAATATATCTTTTTAGATTAGTATAAGTGTTTACTATGCAACTTGCTGAAATCTACAACTACATTCGTTCCTTTTCAACTCAACATATTGTACCAAAAGTATGCATTATTGGTGCAGGACCAGCAGGGTTTTATGCTGCCCAACAATTACTAAAGGTATGTATAGTATTTTTGTATATTAAAATAATATTGTAACAATATAATGTTGATACAGACAAGCTCTAATATAAAAGTGGATATATTAGAGAAATTACCAGTACCATATGGTTTAGTGCGTTTTGGTGTAGCACCAGATCACCCAGAAGTGAAGAATGTTATTCATACTTTTGAGAAAACTGCATCTAATCCACGTTTTCAATTTATAGGAAATGTTAATGTAGGAAAAGATGTTACTATAAAGGAATTGCAAGAAATTTATCACGCAGTTTTATTAGTATGTATGATAAAAATACAATTATTTTTATATTTTATATTATAATAGTTGATATTAATAATTAATAATTATTTGTTAATATTTTAGACATATGGTGCCGAAGAAGATAAACTATTGAATATACCTGGAGAAAATTTAAACAATGTAATATCAGGACGACGATTTGTCGGTTGGTATAATGGGGTACCAGCAGATAGTAATCTAAACATTAATTTAGATGTAGAAGAAGCCGTTATATTAGGACAAGGTAACGTTGCAATAGATATTGCACGAATTCTATTAACACCGGTAGATAAATTAAGGGTATGTATCAAATTTTTAAAAATATATTTTGTATGTTTCTAATTTATCTATAATTCTGCACATTTAGAATACCGACATAACATCATTTGCATTGGAAAAATTGTCGAAAAGTAAAATACGAAAGGTATCGCTAATAGGAAGAAGAGGACCATTACAAGCTGCATTTACAATTGCTGAACTAAGAGAAATATTAAAATTAGATGGCTGTAAGACTTGTTGGCGTGTAGATGATTTTACAAATGTAAATCAAGTAGTTAATACTTTAGCTAGGCCACGGAAAAGATTAACCACGCTTATGTTGAAATATTTAGAAGAAACATCTTCAGATACGGAAGCAACGACAAAAAGATTATATCCAATATTTTTAAGAAGTCCTGTAGAATTTTTAGGTTCTAATACAGTACATAGTATTAAACTGTCAGTCAACAGTCTTGAAGGTAACGACGTATTTACCCAATTTGCTGTATCTACTGGATTATTTGAAGAGATTGAATGTGGTCTTGCATTTCGTAGTATTGGTTACAAGTCTGTTCAAATAGATGCATCAATACCATTTGACATAAAAATTGGTCGTGTTAAAAATATAGCAGGTAAAGTTCAAGATAAACTTTACGCTGCAGGCTGGGTTGCAACAGGTCCTGTGGGAGTTATATTATCAACAATGACAAATGCATTTCAAATTGGTACATTAATGAATAAAGAATTACCAATTACAGAAAATAAACCAGGTTTTGTAGGTTTGTCTAAAATACTTGCTCAAAAAGGAATACCTATAGTCTTATACAACGATTGGAAAAAAATAGACAAATTAGAATGTGAAAGGGGAAAGATATTAGGGAAGCCAAGGGAAAAAATAGTTGATATCAATGAAATGTTAGAGATTGCTTTAAAATAATAAATGCATAACAATTATTTATAAAAAAGCAAAAACCTTTTACTTTTTAATAAGTCTCATTATATACCTGTTAATTTTACTTAATTTTTTAAATATCAGTTATTTACTTAAATAATCCTTAAGCTTTATAGGAACTTTAAAAATTTTGCACTTATATATGCAGTTATATAGTATAATCTTAATTGTAAGAAATTTGTTATAAAAATATATTTTTACCAACGTGACATTTAAAATAAATAAATTTTTGATATTCCAGATATATTTCGTCAAACTTATAAACACCATGGTGCTTGGGAGATTATTATATTCCTCTGTATACTAGTATATAATAATATTATGCATAATGTTTTTTAACATATCAAAACATTTATTGTAGTATAGAAATGGAAAAATTGACACAGTTTTTTACGTAGAAAGCGATAAATTACATAATGGCAAAGTTTGAAATCGCAAAAAAATTCGCAAAGCAAGCAAGCTAATATTAATTTTTATTTTATATTCTAAATATATAGCCTTTTTTCAGAAATAAAATTTATATTTTTACTAAAACTATTATAAGTATTTCAATACGTTAAAACGACAATTAATTCAATAATGCTATTATAAACAAATATACTTAAACACCATAGTGTCTGACCAATAAGAGTCATTGTATATATTGACTTATTCCATATGCATAATTATAATCATTTATTAAAATATTTCCTTATTTAATTGTTTAATTTTATAAAAAATTAAATTTCCGATATGTAGAAAATGATGCTCGTGAAATAAACTTCTACTCGCAGGTACGTTAACCTCTTAATATTGTTATGCACGTAATTCGAAATGAATACTTATTTTCATACTATACTCGATTAAAAATTTATATTAATTATCCTGTGCTTCTTTTTTGTAGAATACAAATTTAAAAATCAAAGATTACTGTATTCAGAGACCCTTAAGTCTCAATGATAACAAATTCTTACTACGATATTAATACAATTAAAGCAAAATCTGTGTTTGCAGTAATAAATAATATTTACGCATAGATTTTTAAGCAAGAAACATTTATGTTTAAAGTAACAGAATAAAAAAGAGTTTTCAAGATAAAAAATTTTTCCACTGTTACGTATTATATTGTTAAATGTAATTACAACATGAATTTACAAGAACCAAAGAGAAAACGACATGTAAAATTAAAAGAACAGTTGCCATTCCCGATTGTATTAGGCAATAAAAATGAATGGATTACATATACTGCTCATCTCACTGATTTAGGATCTTGTATAATTGATCCAAGTGAAATTGTTGCAGTACATTCTATGGTAATCATCGTCTGCAAATAGATATATAATTTATATATTTAAAATTGGAATTTTCATTTTCCTTATACGTAATATTATTATTTGTTTATAGGGTTATTTTGGGAAAGGTTCTTTATCACGTGGTTTTCCCTCATTTGGAAAAACACGATATGGAGTTCCTTCAGTTGTAAGAAATAGACAGTGGCTTCGCAGACAAGAATGGTTGAAACAATTTAATGAACTTAGCATGGAAGCTAATAGCAAACATACAAATTTAGAAGAAAGCAAATGTGAACTTTCCTATTCAAAAAATCCTGATGAAGATGATAACAAATCTTTAAAGAATCCAACAAAGGAAAATAATCCAGATATAATTGAAATAGATACAAATTCAGTTTCTTTAAATGAAAAACATAAAGAAAGTCAACAAATTGATAAAAGGCTAGAAGTAAATGATACAAATTCAAATTCCATGAAAGAGGACGACTCGTTAATTATTATAGAAAACAAATTTAAAGAACAATGCAATAATACTGATGATGGTCAAAGAAAATCTATGGAAATTGAAGAAAAAAATTTTTTTGCAGATTTTAATTTGAAAGAAAATGATGTCTGTTTTACTGATAATAGCACAGATGTTCAAAATAAATTACTTGTTCTACCAGATAGTGATTCAGAAACTGAAAATTATTTAAGAGAAATAAAACCTAAAATTGAATGTGAAAGTTTTCCCATTCAAGAAACTCTCCATCTTACATTTGAAGAAACATTTTTCCTTTTATATGGTTTAGGTTGTTTGAATTTAATAGACTTTGATGGTAATTTATTGGATATTGATAGCGCTTGGCATATTTTTTGCAAGACTGATAAAAATTTTGTGTCAAAGTATGTTGTATATCATTATTTTCGTAGTAAAGGATGGGTAGTAAAACCTGGACTTAAATATGGTGGAGATTTTTGTAAGTACTTCTTTTTATTATTACTTTTACGAGTAGAACAATTCTTCAATACTGTAGATCTCAGAATATAAATAATGTTTAATATTTTAGTGCTATATAAACAAGGACCACCGTTTTATCATGCATCTTACATTGTAATAATAGATATTTTGGATGGTGATACCTTAGTCACAGATCAAAGTAAATGTATGCATAAATTAACGTGGAATAGTTTATTAGGATTGGAAAGATTGTCAGAAACTGCTGCTAAGGTAATTCCCAGTAAGAATATAATATACATTTCAATGTTGTTTCTATATTCAAAACATTTTTTTAATTTAGGAAATATTATTTGCACAAGTTTTATGGCCATCTTCAGCTTTACATACATCTAATACACTAAGCGTGGATAGCCTTTCTGAATTTTCCGTGAGAGAATTATTATGGAGAAGATGGAATCCTAAACATAATAAAGATGTAGAGGAAGAAGATGATGATTCATGTTGATTTTATTTTTAACATATTTATTAACTATAAATGAAACATATAAATTAAGGAACATTATTTATCTATCTAAGTTCTATCATTTATCTATATAATAACTCTCTTATAATTTTTTTTCTTAAATTAAACAATTGACAGCTAAATAAAGATAATAATATGTACGAACTCATTTTATACTCATACAATACAAATTGAATTTATTACTCACACAATATTACTTTTAGCTTATGATTGATATCTCATATATTTTTTTTTTGATATACCAGTCCTTCGATATTCACTTCTTTCATCCAAATATTCTTGTGTACATTGTTCTTTAAAGTCTGAATCATTATACCATCGCGATAAACATTCTTTTAATGCAGAATTCTCTTTCCGACACTTGAAACCCATGAGAACATTAGCCTTTTTACAACAATCTGAAAACTCTAGAAATGAAAAATAAAAATTACAAACACTAGTTTTATCAAAATATGTATAGTAATTAATTAAAAATTACTACCTTTAACTTGTTGAACACACTTTTCTTCTTTTGCTTTGTCTCGCATTTTTTGTGGTATAAGAACGTCTTTCTCTACCTTTCTTAGAAATTTATCATTAGGATCTCCTGTTTACACAAAATGCACTCTTACAAACATCTTTTCCGCATTTCAAATATTGTTGAATCACACGTAACAATTACTTAAATGAACATACTAATTTAGAAAACATTTTTATCAAATTTACATTGTAACAAAAAGTGTAGAATATCAAACCTGTATAACCTTATTTGTGTATACAGGTAGTATTGAAAGTTACGCATATTTAATTTTTCCATTAATTACTAATTTACTAATAATACTTTAAAATTTACCTAAATTATGCGGTCCTCCACCGTATCTGGGATGCTTGGTTTCAATTTGTGTCTCAATCATTCTCGTTAAACTGAATTAAAAACGTTGTTAAAACGATCATGAATAATTCTACAGAAGCATGTGAATGCTGGTTGCTCCAGCAGGCTGCGTTCGTGATTGTGCAGATTTGAGAGTTGTCAATGTACGTTGGTTCACGAAGGGAATGCTTGTTTAATGCTGCGGATGACTGATAAATTATACTATTTTCAATTAAAAATATAATATAACAGGTGAGCAAACAAATGTAGTATTTTACACACTCTAAATAGATATCATTTTTTGTATAAATCTGTCATTAACAAAAGTTAACCTTGTTAGCGATCGGTTTGATGTTGAACTGCTGATTAGAAATTCTCATATTTCGAACTCCGAGTGAAATGTTACGCATTGTTTCTAGAATTGTTCAGAAAATACAAGAAAGGCAGTGATGGATCGATTATTGAGATTAGGAGGTGCTATGCCAGGTCTTAGCCAAGGACCTCCACCTTCAGATGCTCCAGTTGTTGATACTGCAGAGCAGGTAGAATTTATTTTGGTCTCAGTTTATTATTTCAATGGATAATTCTATTTCAATTCTTATTTCAAGCATAATAAAATACTTTGTTTTGTAAATTATCTGAGAAAGAAACTGCAGTATGTTAACAGCATATTTTGTATTTACTAATATATCGTTTTTGTTATATTATTATTGTTAGGTATACATATCATCGTTAGCCCTTTTGAAAATGCTTAAACATGGACGGGCTGGTGTACCCATGGAAGTAATGGGTTTAATGCTTGGTGAATTTGTTGATGATTATACTGTACGTGTCATTGATGTGTTTGCTATGCCTCAAACAGGAACGGTAATAATCAAAATTTTACGTTTTAAAGTAAGTGTCGAGATTATATTTTTTCAATATTTAACTTATTATTATTTATCTTAGGGAGTTAGTGTGGAAGCAGTCGACCCAGTATTTCAAGCAAAAATGTTGGACATGCTCAAACAAACTGGTCGGCCAGAGATGGTAGTAGGATGGTATCATTCTCACCCAGGATTTGGTTGCTGGCTCTCTGGTGTAGATATTAACACACAACAATCATTTGAAGCTCTTAGTGAAAGAGCGGTGGCTGTTGTTATCGATCCTATACAATCAGTGAAAGGAAAAGTTGTTATTGATGCATTTAGATTAATTACTCCTAACACTATGGTAACTAATAAGTTGAAACGTTTTCATTTGAATTAAGTTACATAGTTGTTAGTATTATACATGTAAAATTATAGGTTTTAGGACAAGAACCCCGTCAAACCACGTCTAATTTAGGTCATTTACAAAAGCCATCTGTTCAAGCATTGATTCATGGTTTAAATCGCCATTATTACAGTATTAGCATCAACTATCGTAAAAACGAACTAGAACAAAAAATGCTATTAAATCTGCACAAGAAAACGTGGATGGATGGGCTTACATTGGCCGAATATTCAGAACATAGCAAACTTAACGAAAATATCGTATCTGAAATGCTTGAACTTGCTAAAAATTATAACAAGGTAATTTATTAAGATGTCAGAGATATTTTTTAATGCAAAGCTAAAATTTCAAATATACTAATTTGAGAATTTATTTACTGTAGGCATTGGAAGATGAAGAAAAGATGACACCCGAACAGTTAGCTATAAAAAATGTGGGTAAACAAGATCCAAAACGGCATTTAGAAGAGAAAGTGGACACACTTATGTCTACGAATATTGTTCAATGTCTGGGAGCTATGCTCGATTCAGTTGTATTCAAATAACTATTTCTTAAAATACCGTTTGCAATATTATTAAAAAAATATACATCTTTCTAAAATATATGTGTTTATAATTTATACTCGAAGGATATAATACACAAAAATTTTTGTACTGTTTATTTTCATATTAAAAAAATGCAAACAACAGACAAGTAGATTTTTACATTTTTATTTAAAATGTATTTGTAAATTTATAATATTAGCTGTTCAGAAGTTACATATAATTTATTATCTTTTGATACAAATTTTTTATTATTAAAATATATCTGAATAGGGATGAAGTAACAAATGAAAATGTTTCTTGCGATACAAAGTGTAAATACTACTCTTGCACAATATTAAATCTATAACATAAAAAATGCTAGGTGAATCATAATGGAATTATTTTATACTTGCAAAACATTAGAGTAATTTGCAAATGAAATTAATCTATGTACATTTATTGATACTAAATATCGTACCAATATTCATTTTCATTATTTGCAAAATTTATAATACATATACTTAATAATATATTTTTGCAATAGTATATTAGATTGGATACATATACATATATGTACTCGTTAAAAGATAAGTATCACAATTTTTTATGTATTCGTTAAAAGATAAGTATCACAATTTTTTATAAGTGTAAGAAAAACGTCGTAATACTTTATATAAAAGAAAGTGAGAAAGTTTCTTTACGATTTTCAAAAAATGTATACATATTTTACAACGTCCAAAATGTAAAAAGAATATTTAAAAAAAAAAATATTTTTTGAAAATCGTAAAGAATAAGAAACTTTCTCACTTTCTTTTATATAAAGTATTACGATGTTTTTCTTACACTTATAAAAAATTGTGATACTTATCTTTTAACGAATACATATTTAAAAAATTATTTCAACTTGAAAGTGTTACTTCTTGATCTTGAGTCTTATCTTTCTTCTTTTTCTTCTTCTTTTTTTCTTCTTTAGCTGTTGTATCCTGTTAATGATAATATTAAGTTTTTGAATCTTTTTAAAATGTTAAACGCGGAAATTAAATATAAATTACTTTACCTCAGTTGCACTTTCTATTACCATAGATTCATCAGCTTCAGATTCTGTTTTTTCTTTCTTCTTTTTCTTTTTCTTTTCCTTTCTATCTTTCTTTTTCTCTTTTGGCGACGTTAATTCTGAACCCTCAATCACTTCTTCTTTTATTGAAACTTCGGTTGTAGATTGTGTTTCTTCCCACTTTCGTTTCTTAGCCACAGAATCGGTAGAAACACCATTTTCCTCAGTCTGATCCATAAATAAAAATTAAATATACTATTTGTATAATTAAATATACATATTTACACAATGAAATATAACAAAAAGCTGATAATTACCTTAATTACAGGTTTACAATAGTCTTTATAATTTGTTAACCAATCTGCAGGTGTGTTCTCATTTGGTTTACCATATTTATCTAACTTTCCTTCAATTATCATGCGTTTTTTTACGGAAGCTTTTGGTCCTAGACCCCATTTTCTTGGGTATGCGTCTCTTTCCATGATTACTCTTTTAATTTTAGCAGCTACACCGTGATCACAAGCTGTCATTGTAGGAGATGTCATTAAAGCTATAGCTGTGACAAAAAGAATTGCAAATACAATAATTTTTATTTATAAGCAAAGATTAATATAAATTACAGTTATAAAGAATGTGCTGTATGTAATACATTAAATTACTTACCAAGTGCTATAGCTTCACCTTTTGTAGTTACTATTACAATTTCTTGATTTAATTCTATACCATCATCATACATTAAAATTCCTGGCAGCATAATTTTAGCTCCATAACAGATAGCATTTACCTATCAATATAATTATTCATATAACTGTGTAATATTATAAAATATCACATAAGCAAAATTGTGTTTATACACAAATAATGAATACATACTGCACTATCTTTTACGATAATCCTCTTATGATTTACTAAAAGAGCTTCTAATGGTTTGATTACTCTTCTTAAATATGATTCATCTCCATGATTTTCATATAACCATTGAGCATCAAGTATATCATGCATAGTAACCATTCCATCATTTTCAGATTGAACGCCTGAACGATTTCTACGTAATTCTTGCATTTGACAACCAGTGCCTAAGAAGAGGCCAAGGTGAACACAAATAGTTCTAATATACGAGCCAGCCTCACAACTAACTTTGAACACTCCCATATTACGTTCTTGATCATAATCCAGGAACCAACTGTCATAAACTGTTCTAACGCGAAGCTGACGCTTCACTGCAGATATAAGTGGAGGTCGTTGAAAAAGTGCGCCACGTAATTTTTCTAATGCCTGACTAACCTATATTATTTTCTCATTAATAACAACGTCTCATATAGGGTTTAAAACATTTTAAATTCAACTAATACATCATATTTACCTTTTGAAGACTTTCTGGAGCAGAATGTAATTTAAAAACTGCAATATATTCTTTCCCAGCAGATTGTTGTGATTTAGCTAATCTAGTTGCTTTGTCAATACATACTATCAAACACCCAGATACTTTAGGATCTAGTGTGCCCGAATGACCAGTTTTCTCCACTTTTAAAATTCTTTTTATCCATGCAACAACTTCGTGTGATGATGGATTACATGGTTTGTCTAAATTAATGCAACCAGATTTTATGTATTCAGATAAAGTGCGATGTAATGGTGTCGAGCCACTAGTTAAAGGAGTAAAATGCTTTGTACGAGTAAGCATTTTATCAAAATGCTGAAACAATGTAATTTACATTTAATCATAGCTGTATTTTTGGGAATTACTTCTTAAATCGTGTGACGGATTATATTTTGTGTTACATTACACACCTTAAATAAGAGAGGCCAATCTTTGTATTCCAGTTTTACAACCTCATCCGAAGGTTCAAGTTGACACTTCATTGTTGCCTGGATTTCCCCAAGAGACTTTTTCTTGCTTTTCTTCTTACTTTTATCTAAACAATAAAAATAACGAAACTTAACCTATTTCACATTCATCAAACTAATCGATACGAAATTAAGACGCAACAACCACACACTGATATTAATTGATATAAAATAAATGCAAGAAGATATAGAACATGCAAATCATACTGTATTTCGTAAAATATTCATCGAACTTTCGTCAAATATCAAAACACGTGTCTACCGCTATATTTATAATTGACATTTATAACAGAAGGTAAATACGTTTACTCGTTTTTACGTATAAAATAAGGATACTGGCATGAAACGATGAATACGATGGAACAAATACGACTTTAAACGATATAATGTACGAATAAAATAAATAATAATTACCGCTTTCTGCCATTTTGATATGCGTGAGTACAGACAACACGTGTGTCACAATGAACCTTAGCGCGATACCAACTTGCGATGCGACACTAAGTGCATCCACTAATATCATGGGTTATATAGATACTTTAGATGTGTCTCGTTCAACGATGTTCAAGTAACGAAGAAAGAAATTTTTAGCACTTCGTATCATAAAGTACAGGGTATCAGTAAAAATAAATTATACGAATAAATTCTACGAAAACAAATATACGCGATGATAACGAAATACGATACGAATTTTTAATTAATTCGAGACACTCGACTGACGCCCATCTCTGATGTGCTTCGTGTTCGAATTCCAATGTTTTCAGCGAAAATAGCGAATTTTCAATTTTGTAGTTGAAAGTATAAACACCCTGAGATATCGATAAATTGTACATTATAATTTTGTAAATGAATTGGAACGCTCGAACGAAACATTCGTATATAATGAAGCTAGTGGATTATCTCGTATACTCTATACCATAAAAAGCCACTATGTTTAGTTTTCGCGGCAAACTCGGAGTGAAACGGAGTAAAAAGCAGTAGTGAATATTAAAAAAAAAAAAAAAAAATACTCCCATGCCGAGGATCACTGCATCATGTTTGTGGAAAACTTAGAAAGAGGATTTTATCGCTTAGTGAAACATGATGTGAGTTATGTTATCCTACTTCTTTCATTTGACAATTCAATTTATCCACGTTTACGTAGGTTAATTTTTTTTTGTTTAAAATTACAAATGTGTTTTTGAATTGCTGTAAAATCTATTTAAGTTGATTTGAAAATATTATTATGTTTATTTAATAAATTCTTATTCGTATTTGCCGAGCAACACGAGGTGATCATTTTATGCATAATTATGCACATTTGACATGTTATTTTATAACTTTTATTAGATATAAACAAGATGCTAATGTAAACTTTCTTTATTGCAGAGATGCCTGCTGTTGGTTAACTTTGACGTTGATGCTATTTGTGCCTGTAAAATTTTGCAGCTACTTTTCAAGTATGATAACATGATGTATACACTTGTACCTGTTCAAGGTGTTCAAGATATGGTTCGTGCTTTTGAAGAAAATTGCGAAGAGGTAATGAAAGTTTAAAAGGCACACTTATGTATACGCCTTTGCAGTAAATTTCATTAATTCCTTATCTAGGTAAAAAATATTATTTTTATAAATTGCGGCGGTACACTAGACTTAGTAGAGTTATTGCAACCAGCAGAATCTGTGATATTTTATATCCTTGATAGCCACAGGCCTTATGACTTGTGTAACATATATTCGGAGGATCAAGTACGCATACTTGGTAAACCTGATGAAGACGATGAAATTCCAGAGTATAATGACGTATTCAGAGATGATGATTCTGTAAGCGATTTGTTTCAATTTGACTACTTAGTTGAATAACAAAGGAGACTTACTTGACAATTTCTAGTCTGATGAAAACGAAACGGATGAAGAATCGGCAAGCGATAGATCTCAGACAAAAAGGCGAAGGTTGAATGAGGAAGATATTGTGAAAAGAGCTGGGCGAAGAGAATGGTCTGAGAAAAGGGCAACTATTTTGTTCAACTACACACAATACAGCTACTACGGCAAATCAGTATGTGTTACCAAAATATGTGAACAGTATCATTAATGTGGAGCATAAGAATTTAAGTACATTTTATATTTCCATAGAGTGCAATGATTATGTTTGAAATGGCATGGAATATGACAAAGGACAATTTGGACATGATTTGGTGGGCTATAATTGGTTCTACGGAACAAGCTATTCTTGGTAAAGTAGAATCAAGATTGAGCGTTCTTGATGAAGGTTTCCTTCAAGCTCACGTGTCTAGATTGACTCATAAAAAAGGAGCTGAAGTTGATAAGCAACAGCAGCAACAAAGTACAGTCAAAATTACTTATGATAAAGAGTATCCTTTTGAGTCGAATTTCTGTGTAGTAAATATTTTATCTGCGTAATATATAAAAATTTATATGTTAAAACATTATTTTCTTACATAGAGATATAGTCTCTTGCTTGTATTATATCGTCATTGGACTGTAGAAGATAGCTTAAGACATTCAGTACCAACAGCAGTATCGTTACGACTTTGGTCCCTTAGAGGGGAACAACGGTTAAAGGGATTGTTGGCAGACATGGGTTTGCCTCTAGCGCAATCAAAGCAACGATTTTCGGCAATGGATCTTGCACTTAGACAAGAATTTAAACAAATGGTTGAAAAATTAGCAGGGAAATATAAAGTGGATACTATAATTGGAACAAGCTTTACTCTTCAATATGGTTACAAATTTAAATACTGTGCTTCAGATATAGTTTATGCTATGCTTGCTTTAATAGAATCTTCTGTAAGTTTATAAGTCTTGTGTTTTCAGTTGTTTAATCGTGCGAATACTTTAATACAACGTTTTAATGTTTCAGTCAAAAACGAAATTACCGCAAGGCTGTTTTTTAGATGCTTTGGACTGTTTATCTCGTACAAAGAAAGACATTTTAGAAAGTGGCATAGAAAAAGCGAAACTTATGCTTAAGACTGTTTTTAAAACTGCACAGACTATATTGCAATTGAAAGAAATTAGAAACACCGGCTCGTTTCTTTATGTAATTATTCCAGAGGGAAGCGCTGACAATTTTATATTCGCGCATCCATATCCATTAATGATGTTAGCACAATTTACTCTAAAGGCTTATGTAGATTCTTCAAAAAACAGGCGGGCACCGGAATTGCCACTTGTAGCTTCTGCAGTGTACAATGCAGAAGAGAGAATGTGTATAATGATTGGTATACCACCGGTATGTGAAGATCAACCCAGAAGGTAATTACGAGTAATTAATGAAAACTTATTGTGGAAATATGCTGGATTATGCTTTGGCATTATTTTATGAATAATATTAATATTAATTGTTTATAGTTTATTTGGAAGAGCTTTTGAACAAGCGGCAAAAAATACAAATTCTTATATAGATGCAGATTATTTTGATTCTACAAGTAAGAGTTGCCTATGATTTTCTAGTATTTATTTTTAACATTTGGTATTTTTTTAAACACTATTTTATGTTCCAGTAATAAGACTGAAAATTGAAGAAAGGCCAAAATTTTTGGATGCTCTCGCATCTCTTTTAGCATAAAATTTTAGTGACTAATTTAATATGTAAAATAAGAATTTTTTTCTTCATATATTTATTTTTTTTAAATAGTACAAAATAACGATAATGAAATCTTTTTAAAAATACGACGGGTCGAATCAAGTATATTTTATTTTTTGTGACAAATTGCAATTGACAAACGTAACTTAATAGTATTTTCATTTATGTACGGAACAATCGAATAGGAAGTTTATTCAGTGATGCACGGAATAAATTAACGATACGCTAATGTAAAATGCAAATGATATGTAATAATTTTTATATAAAAACAGAATTAATTTGGAAAAAAAAGAAACTACGAATAAATCTATTACATTTTTCACACTTATTTATTTTTTAATTTCATAAAATAATTTGCATCAAAGCACGAGATTGACGATTATTACCTTTATGGAGAACGGAGTTAGTAACTCAAAGATATGTTCGACGTATTCATTTGGCGTTTATTAAGTAATACATTATATAATATATTAACGTGTGCGTGTGTACACTTAAAAATACAATTCGCTCAGTTTTTATTGACTATGATACATAATACATGTCTTTTGGTTACTTCCACAAAGGGTGTGCGAATACAAGCGCCGTTTCGCGCGAGATCCTTCCTACGAAAGGAGCAATGGTATCACAGAGACAGGATTGAGAAAAGAGGGTGGGGTTTCTTTTTTTTCTTTCTTTCTTGTTTTTGCTTTTCGTGGTTGTATAATGACCACTTAACTGCTCCTTCCTTCACACGTGGCTTTTCAATATTCCGTATAAAATTGTCAGTTGATCTTTTAAAAATTCAAGTAGAAACGTAGTCATTTTTAGCGGTTTTATGCACTGCCGCTATTTTGTTTATAGGCAGTTTGTCATTACGAAACCCGTCGATAAATTGTTGTACAGAATCCACAGTGATCTCGGCACCATCCTCCATCACCACATAAACTCCTCGAGGTATATCAATCGCTGTTAAGAGGGGCACAGCGTCATCTAAACCGACAAATTCACGAAGAATATCTGACGTTTCACACTATAAGGGAAAACGATAGTACATCCATTAAGTTCAGAATAATTGTACGTGATGTGTACGCATGTAAGATTGCCACTTACATCTAACGCTATATAAAACTGCAAAATATCATCTGGATCGTCATAATTTGGATCGTAATCAGGTCTGTCTTGCCTGTACGCTTGGGCGGCTGGCAATAATACACTTTCTGCGAATTGAATTTCACAGTCTTCACCTTCTGCCGAAAACAATAATGACGCAGAGAAAACGTTACACAGATACGTAAAGAGTTTTTTTTTTTTTTTTTTTCATTCATTCTAACAAGCAGCTTGTCTAACAATTCTCTTTCAAAACGAACTTACCGACAAAAAGAATAATTGCCGGCGCATCGTGTAACGAAGTAGCGTACTTTTCGGTTAAAATATTCACCAAACGGCTGGTCCACGGGAAATTCTGCAAGATTGAAAAAAAAATGTAAAGACCTCGTGCCAGAGAAAACGACGAGAATTTTCGAATTTTCATTTACCAGTCCTTCGGGATCCTCGATCAACTCCGCGCGACCATCCAAGGTTATAATGTTATCTCGGGGATCAAGTATCACTAAAGTGGGTATTGCTTGTACGTCGAGGGCTCTCGCTAATTTTCGTCGTCTCTCCTCTTGACTAAAGGGTATCCTCAACCAAGGCATCGTTTCAATGTAAACGTTATAAGACTCCTCGCTCCTAAAAAAAAAAGTTGTACGTTTCATTTAACGACCATGTGGACTTAACCTCTTAGGCTGAATTTTGCGCGGGTTGTTTCCCTGTACGGCAGAGTTTGACGCGAATTACGTGTAAACAATACAGCACTGCAACGTGTGACGGAAAGCCATTATATTGGCGCATCGTGCCAAAGAGGTTAATGATACAAGTTTTTCGACTTACCTGTCCGAACTCACAAAAATCACCTCGAAATCGTGGCCCCTCTCTCGAATTCGTTGATAGGTGTCAACAAGCTGCGGGGTAAATGCCTTACAAGGTGGACACTGTACAAACATAGAAAATACATATCATTTTATTGTTAATTCAGATCACTGCGAGTAATTAACTAAAAAAAAAAAAAAAAAAAAAATGCGAATACATCTTCCATTTTACAATCAATTATCGTGTACCGTTACTGCAATCCGGGATTCCATTTTTAACTTGCACGTCGGAATCGCCGGATCGATTATTACGCAGAGGAGAACTGGAGCGCAAGTGGTTAATTTTAACCACGGTGGAATATACAGATTCAGTAGATTCTCCAATATCGTTGATTATGAATTTCCAAGAAATCTACGGAAGATACTAAAGTGCTACCCTCGGTTCTGTCTCGAATAAATCGAGCCTCGAATATCCGACATGGCGAGAAACACGAATTTCCCCCAATTTGAATTTCAAATCTTGGAAGAATTTCAATTTTAAATGAAAAATCTTGAAAAATCTCGATTTTAATCGAAGCTACGCGAGTGAGTTTTGCACGTACCCAGTGTGCGCTGAAGTAAACACCCTTGAAGCAGTGGCGCAGCTCCTCGTGTAGCATGGGCTCGTTGCTATCGCGCGCCCCGCACGACAGCAGGGGCCCATCTTCGAGAGCAGCCTTCGGATGAGGAGGTTTCCAAGGAAATTCAGCCCCGTTGGGATCGCCGATAGTTCGCTCCACGCCGCCCCTGGTTATCACCGAGCCGTTCGAGCCGTCCAATAAAATCAAAGTCGGCACGCCGGCCTTTATCCGATACCTCCGAGTCAGTCTGGTCTGTAAAAGAGACACTTGATCGCCTGTACAAATATATATTTCAACGTCGAGATCCTTTTTTAAAGCCTCTTTCATAAACATTCGCGAGATTATCCGGGCGAATATTCTTTGTTTTGGATTGGTTTGGATCGTCAAACTATGATCAATCGAGGGCAAAATATACTGTTCACAAAAATTAGGGGATATTGCAAGAGTTTGATTTTTTTTTTATTACATATATATATATATATATTATATTATTATATTTTTATTATATATATGTATACAGGGTGGACCGAGTTTTTTTTTTTTAATAAAACATCGAGATATAAGAAAAAACTAAATTTTTTTTATCAGTTTTAAATTAAATTTAAGTTCAATTTTAGGTGATTTTTTTTCCATTATTTTTTGAAAATTATTTTATTCCAAATGTTGGAACTGCTAGTACAAATTTCGCAAATTTGCGCTTTTTTTGGTGGGCCAAAAGTTTTTTCCCCTATTTTCTTCAAACATCAAAATATAAGAAAAAACTGAATTATTTTTTATCAGTTTTAAATTAAACTCAAGTTCAATTTTAGGTGATTTTTTTTCATTATTTTTTGAAAATTATTTTATTCCAAACGTTGAAACTGCCAGAACAAATTTCGCAAATTTGCGCTTTTTTTGACGGGCCAAAAGTTTTTTCCCTATTTTCTTTAAATATCAAAATATAAGAAAAAACTAAATTATTTTTTATCAGTTTTAAATTAAACTCAAGTTCAATTTTAACTGCCACAGCAAATTTCGCAAATTTGCGCTCTTTATTTCAGTAGGAAGTGATTTTTGGTCCACCCTGTATTTCCATTTTTAAGGGAATCGCACAACGGAACGAAAATCTGTTTCAATGAAATGCGAATGGTAATTGAGATTACCTTTCGTGATACGTGAAACACGGGGATGCATATAAGTGAGAATGAAGCAGAGTGTAATTAAATTTGTTTGCTCCAATAATTTCAGCGAAAACACATTAAAATTATTTTCAACGCTTGCCGGATTTTCCTGTGGTTTATTTTACACCCCCCTCCCCCCTTATTTCGCATCGATCGAAAAATAGCAAAGTCGCAAAATCTTTTATTCCTTGCACTTCGATTTGAATATCTCCCAAATAACTTATCGTTGTTATTTCACACTCGGCCGTTTCTCGTCGATGTTTTACGTCGAACGATCTTGCGAAAAGTTGGTTTCTCGTCGTATATAAATCGTCGGCTTTGAATTCAGTTCGCACGGTAAGCAAAAAAAGAAGGAAGCAGAGAGACGAAAAGATCGAAACCCATCAATTTCGGAAAGCGTGAGAGGAACATAACCTGAATGCCTGTGCGCGCGCGTGCACGTTCGAAAAAAAAAATTCGAGACACGTAGGCGTTCACCGCTTCTGTTTCTTCCGTTATCCTTCCAGCACGCAACGAAATTCAAGCACGGCGAAAAAAAGGGCGCAACGAGTGTCTACAGGGGAATAATGTCTGCTGACAATGAGTGCCCTAGCCCCTCTGCCCCTAGCTGCATGATTACAGTGCTACAAGAGGCAAAAGAGGAAAAAAAAAAAAAAAAGGAAGGAAAAGAAAGGGGCTCGGTAGATGATAGTAGAAAATTGGTAGAAAGTTGCGATAGATAAGAAAGGATGAATGGGAGAGTACATGTACACGCAAAAATAATCCCAAGTGAAACGAGATTTCCTCCTTTTTTTTCTTTTTCTAAATAAGTTCAAGAAATATTAATTTCTCGTTCCTTTCTTCTTCCAAGAAGAGGAAAGTGTCTCGTCGTTTCGAGGGAAGATAGCAAAGAGAGCCCCGGTTGATAATAAGACGAGAGCCCATCTCGTCTAGCAGACTGCACAGATTATAGTAACGTCAACCATGAAAACAGAGATGATAAAAAAGCGAGAAAGCTCCGGCATAAAGAAGGACGCAGAATCACTGGAAATTCTTTCGTGGATACCGAAACGAATTGCAGTTTCCTTTCTAGGATACTGTTTTGCAGCTTAATTCCAAGATTATTCTTGACATCAAGGTGTTCTATGTTTTACGCAGCGTTTTCATTTACAAAATTACAATGCTTTGTGTATCACTTAATACGAGAACTACATTTGACGTTTGTCTCGAAAATAATTATGTGCCACCGTGACGTTTCAAATATCCTATTCGTTCTAATAAATTGTTTTAACCAGTTTAACTATTTATTCTTTTGAATAGAGTGAAAATGCTTAGTAACTTTTTTTAAATTTTACTAGCAAATATTCTCACTAGTCACCACATATCACTAGATAGATATTATAGATGAATCACTAGATAGATACTATATACAATAATAAAATTTTACTAGTAAATATTTTCACTAGTCACTAGTAAAAAAAAAAGAAAAAAAAACCCAACGAAATCTATCACGTGGTACATTCGGAACTTACATTACGTGTATTGAATGGCGAATTAGTCAGTGATACGTACGTACTATTGACGATGCATTAACGATTTTTATCGATCGCGCTAGGACGTAGGAGAAGATGATCGACTATAGCATTCGTTAGAATTGAATACCGATTCCCCGTTAAGCTGTCTGATTACAAGAGAACAAAAGGAGCAGAGAAGATCGAGGTACAATGGACACATTGACGAGGGCTTTCACATGGAAGTACATAATGAAGAACAGTGTCTAAGAGATGAAATAACGTTTCCAATCAATTCAAGATTTTTCGACGAACGATTCATTTCACGTGACGCGTTTTCGTCTCGCACGTTCTTCTTTGTTTTTAATTCTACGATTATCACACCTGCATAATCAATATAAGTATTATTATGTTTATGAAGATATAATTTTTCAAAATAAGATAGCAACGACTACGATTCGTAGTTTAAGCGACTAATAGTAAAAAAAACAAAAAAAAAAAAAAAAAAAAAAAAAAAAAAAAAAAAAAAAAAAAAAAACGTTCATTGTACTCGAGGAATTTTTCTATTATAAACAAAATTCTTGAATAAATAATTTTTCAACGAACGAAAATTCTGAAATGAATGCAACTAGAATGATAAGTGTCCAACGTGAGCAATAGAATCGAAAAGCTGTCGCGTGACGGAAGCATTCGCGGAGACGAGACAAGGGGGGCAAAACTCGATCCTCAGCTCGTTCAAAGAGACATACCAATAAATCTTTTGGCAATCGACACCTGTCGCGCAAACTCTGCCGTCGGAAACGGATCAATTCTCCCTGGAAAGTTTCGCGTTACTCGACAGAGGACTTTTTTTCTCAGGCGAACCTCCTTCTTCTCCTCCTCCTCCTCCTCCTCCTCGCCGCGAAGGACGAGAACGAGCCTTCCACCTCTCCGGCAGTTTTTGCTTTGCCACCGATCGAGGCAAACGGGAGGGAAGCGAATGAAATTTTTGAAGGAGGATGCGTTACAGCCCGAGGAGGACGAGCTTGTTGGAATATAGGGGAAGAAGGGTCTTCCCTGGATAGTCGAACGAAACGTGCGATGTCGTACGTTATCGCGACCCTTCACGGGGAGGCATTACCTCGTCCCTTTCGTATATTTCCTAGGGCGCTTTCTCGTTCGTTCCTACGTCGGTGTGTGTGTTTGTATATATATATATAAAAACACACACACACACACACACATATATATATATATATATAGATATAGATATACGTTAGTTCGCCGTCTCCGTCTAGAGCGGTCGATAACGCGTGGTACGTCCTCCCTCGGCGTTGCTACCGCTCGCTCGACGGTGCTATCGTTATTTCCCCCGGTGGTCTGTATGTCCCCTACCACGCCGCCACTTCCATCGCTCCTGCCTGCTCGTTCCCCTGTGTCGTCCTTGCTCCATCGCCCGCTTACCCTCCACGATTCCCTTTCTCCCTCGCCGATGGGGACGATGGAGCTTCTATCGCTGCGAAAAATCCTCGTGTCATACCATTATTCCATCCGCGCGTAACAGTAGTTGCTACAGTTACTCTCTGGTGTTATTAGAATTCAACGATAACATACTCGTCCAACTATCGGACTGTTCGAGCAGCTCTCAAATATCCTCTGGCAACTCTGTTTGTTTCTCGCGTTTCGACGCAATGGTATCACGGAGGACGGTTTTTCTTTTTTTGTTTTTTTTTTCTTTTTCTGGAGGAAAAATGGAGCGAGATTTTTTATTCCTCGTTTCCTGGCAGACGCACTGTCGGCTTGTAGTAGCCTCTCCTCGGCAACGGGAACCCCTCGCCGTGCCGTGACATCGGGTAGAAGACGAGCGATGGAGGGGAAGGGATGAGATCACTGTTGACTCGTTCGCGCGCGTTCAATCGCCTCCTTCTCCTCCATGAACAGCAGAGGTGCACAACGCGCGCTTTGTCGCGCTAAATTTTCCGGAAGAATTTTTCTGAACCCCCACCATTCACCTCCACAAGTGTTTTACACTTGTACGCTTGTGACATATTTTTTCTACTTTATATAATCATCTTAATTTCAGAATCGAAATTTTTCTACAATTGTTACAATTTTAAATTGTTTTCTCGACGAGTTTACGCGAAATTAGACAAAAATTGACTGCGTTAGATCAGATCAAGGTGTATTGCGAACTTCTGGTATTTGGAAAAAGATTTTTAACAAAATTTCGAGAAAAGAGTTTAACCACCTGATCATAACGAGTGACCAACACCGTATACAATAATTCGTCGCTATATCACTGGATAGAAATTATTGAGAAGTAATAAATGTATTGTCTGTTTTGCCTGGGTTATACTTAAATATACTTAAAACTGAGAAAATATTACAATTTTGGGACAAAAAATTCTCGACGTAGGTGGCACGTCATCCCAATTTTGTTTTGTTGAATCTACGCAAAATTAGATGAAAATTTGACATACTGTTACGTTAGACGAACTCTGGTATAATACGATTTGTGGACATTGTTAATCGATCTCGCGTAAAGATAATACGAATCCCTGGTATTTGAAGTTGCGCACCCCTGGTATATACAGATATCGTGAGTCTCTCCCGTCTGACCAAGACTGACAAGACCACTGTGTTTCCATTGGTCAACCCCAGTAGCGTCTTAAGACCACCGTGCTCTCAATTACACGCAGACGCGCTGTGTGCGCGACTTGAAAATGTTACTTGAACATGGAAGAACTGCGTCCTACTAAGGATCGATCTCGCAAGGGTTACAGACGGGTAATGGAAACACGATTGTATCCCCTCGACAGAAGAACATACTAGAAATATTCACCAAAAATGGAAAAGCAAAAACAATATTTCCAAAGTTTGTCCAAGGATTGTCGATAATTGTATCGAAATCTACAAGACTGACCTATTCAATATTCTAATTTTTATACCTGCTGAAAAAATGTAAATACTTTGCACGTACAAAATGGACACATTCGCAAAGAAAAATAAAGAAAAAAATTTCCGAAATGGAATAAAATTCAGATCAGATTGATCAAGATAGCGTGCAATTTAGTAAACCTGCTAAAAAGATGTAAATACTTTGCACGTACAAAATAGACACATTTGCAAAGAAAAATAAAATTAAAAAAAAGGAAAAGAAAAAGGAAATTTCCGAAATTAAGATCGGATTAATTAAGATGAATATCAACATGCAATTTGAAAGGACGAATCACGTAAACAGATAAGAAACATCGGAAGAGCATCGGCAGGTTCCGCAGGTAAACGACTTGATTTTCTTTTCGCGCGACTTTTCGCTACTTTTATCGGCAGAGGCGCGCGCGGCGTCAAAGCATTCGGAGGGTTTCACGCGAGCGCCCGTCGAGTCGCGGCCGCCCACCGGGAATACATTTATTCGGGCGATTCGCACCGTACCTCGCTTTTCCTTTGACCGCTGCTGAGTAGGTCGTGTGTAATCTGCACGATATGCTAGGTAAAAAGCAGACGGGGAGGAGTTGGGGGGGGG